GAAGGGGTCGATAAGCATAAGAAAAGATGCTCAAATCATTAATAATCAAAGAAATATAAATTAAAATCACAGTGAGATACAGAGGCATATCTACCATTTGGCAAAAATCAAACAGCCTTACAATACCCATTGAATTGAAACTGTCATCATTACATAGTAACACTCTTTGTCTCTAGCAATGCTTTTTTTTATTACTTTAATTTTATTGTGGTAAAATATATATAATGTAAAATTTGCCATTTTAACTGTTTTTAAGCTTATAATTCAGTGGCATTAATTACATTCACAATGTTGTGCAGCCATCATCACTGTTTTTGAAAACGTTCAACCCCACGTTCAACGCCCAAATGGAAACTCTGTACCAGTTAAGCAATAACTATCCATTCCTCCTTCCCCCAGTCCCAGTTAACCTCTAATCTACTTTCTGTCCCTATGAATTTGCCTAGTCTAGCTATGTCATAAGTAGAATCATACAGTATTTGCCCTTTTGTGTCTAGCTTATTTCACTTAATGTATTTTCAAGGTTCATCCATGTTTTGGAATGTATCAGAACTTCATTCCTTTTTATGGATGAATAATATTCCATTGTATGTATATACCACGTTCTGTTTGTCCATACATCTGTTGATGGACACTTGGGTTGTTTCTACCTTTTGGCTATTTTGAATAATGCTGCTATAAACACTGACATACAAGCATCTGTTTGAGTCCTGGTTTTCAGTTCTGTTGGGTAGATATCAGGATGGAGTTGCTGGGTCATACGGTAATTCTATGTCCGACTTTTTGAGGAACTGCCAGACTGTTTTCCACAGCAGCTGCAACATTTTCTAGTAAAGCTTTTTAACTTAAAGTCTATCTTGTCATATCAATAGCTCCCTCAGCTGTCTTTGGATTAGGATTTTCCTGGTGTACATTTTTCCATACATTCTATTCACATTCAGCTTTTCTGTGTCGCTATGTTTTAAATGTCTCCTACATTTATTGTGATTATTACCTGTATTATTTAGATTTATTTCTCAAATTCTATTCTTTCTTTCTGTCATTTCGGAAACCACATCTCTACCTAGCTTCTTTTAGTTATTATAAAAATTTTAACATGAATATTTGACTTAATCAAGTCCAAATTTCTTATCTTTATCCTCCTCCTAAATAATAAAAAGGGTCTTACAATATTTTAACTCTGTTCACCCACTCCTGTTATATTTTTGTCTAGCATTTTAGTTTATCATGGATTGATCTATAGCTTCTCAAATTAAAAAAAGTATTATTATTGTTTTGGACAGTCCAATCTTTAGATTTATTCTCACTTAAAAATTTCCTTGCTCACCATTTATGTTATATCCAAAGCCTTCTTTCTGGGATCATTTTCTATCATCTTAGCATTTATCTTTAGGAGATGTTCTGTGAGAGTCCCAGTTTTTGTTCATCAGATAGTATATTTTTCCATTGTTCTTGAAAATCAGTTTCATGAGTTACTTTCTCGGCAGTGTGAAATTATTCCATTGTCTTCTGGTTTCCATTGTTTCTTCTGAGAAATCAGCTGTAAGTCTAAATATTGACTCTATGGGTAGTCTTCTCTTTCTCACTGCCTTGAAGATCTCTTTGAAAGATCTCTCTTTCAAAACACGTCTAAGAAAGGAATTTCTTTAAATCTGCTTGAGTTTTATTGGGCACCCTAAATTCCAAGATTTTCCCTTAAGCTGGTCTGGAAAATTCTCTGAAAAGTCAAGAAGCCTTGACTTTTAGCTTCTCGTTTTCTTTCACTCTTTATAGCAAATGCTGCATTCTGAGTTAATTCTTCAGACCTATTTTTCAGTTCACCAATTCTCTCTTCAGTTGGGTCTAAACTGTTTATCCATTCTAATTTCAATTATTATATTTAATTTTTAGTTCTGAAATCTGTCTTGTCATTCATTTCATCCTTATTCCTTTATCATACATTTGATTCCCCCATTGCTTTTGACACTTCCAATTTATGCAGTCTTTACAGATTGATTCTGTCATTTGTTACTTTTCTCTCACTTACAATGGCATGTTTGTGATTTTGGATTTTGAGCTTGTTTCTTGGAATACTTGTGGGATTGCTTTGAGGCTTGTTTTTAAAGAACATTCCTCCAGAAAAGATATGGGTTTGTTTCTGCCAGGAAGCTCCATTAACTCAGGATTACTGTAAAATAAACTCTCAGATTGAGGCTTTTTAGGACATACAGGTAGGACAAACATCTACACAAAACCTACAGGGGGATTAGCTGTGGTGAGGAATTCCCATAGAATTTTCATGGGAGACTTATCTCTTATCCACCACAACCCAAGTTGAGGACTGCATTTTTCCTCATCATAACCCTCTCTTACCTGCTTTATTTCCTGTTTACTCTTTTGCCAAGAATGTAACTTTCTGTTTTGCTGACTTCCCACCTTTCTCCAGCCCATGGCTTTGTCTCCTGTCCCCCACATTTGGCCAATTAAAACAGAAAGATCTAGCCTGTGAGAGATAACAGATACCGCCCTCCCAGTGGAGCCATCAGCTTCAGTACTTGTTACTTCTCTAACTAGTGTGTTCTTTTCTGCTTCTGAGAGTTCCTTTTTTTTCTTGACAACTCACCAATGTAATTAAAGAATTTTTTTCTTTCACATTTTTATCCAGCATTAAATTTTCTGTCCCAGGAAGTTCCTCTGGTTATCTAGTCTACCATATTGCCAGAAATTCCTGCTACCACCTTTTCTACACATATGGGCCCCTAGTTTATGTACAAGAATGGAGAAGGTAGGGAGGGATCTCAACCTTGCTAACAGGGAGAGAAGTGGGGTAGACCCGGTGGTGGTGGTCAGGTTTATATGCTCTGCTTCAGTGGCCCAGTGTTCCTGGGTTCAGATTCCAGGTGCGGACCTACACACTGCTCATCAAGCCATGCTGTGGCAGTGTCCCACATGCAAGATAGAGGAAGATGGGCATGGATGTTAGCTCAGGGCCAATCTTCTTCCTCACACACAAAAAAGAGAGAAGCAAAAATTTCTGGCAAAGAATCACCACTACCTGGGTGCAGACCAAGGGCAAAGGGAATGCAAAATGGGTGATAGAAGAGAAAAAAGTATGTATTTGTATGTGTGTATGTGCAAACACATATTTATATAAACTATAGGCTCTTGACTAGTAGTACAAATGGCGGCTTAGTAGCAATGCATTTGTCTTTCCTTGATATGCATACATTAATATAATTATGCAACTTTTTGATCATTAAATTCACTGTTCATGAGTTCATGGGTTTTGTCATCTCTTAAGAAGGTACAAGAATAGTACTGATCTCAGAGTTATTGTGAGGATGAAATGATATGTGTGTGTGTGTATGCCAGCTCCCCTTCCAATTATTCCACTTAAGACTAGATAAGACTTCTATATCAAGGGGGATTGTGATCAAGGAAGAAGAATGAACATCACTCTAGATGTTGAGATGGATAAAGAAATTTGTGAACTTATCTCCTCTTCTTTGGAAGAGGGTGTGGCTTTATTTCAACAGGGATAGCTGCTGCATGTCATGCAGAATCATGATATTCTTTTTGTTCTTCTTCGAAAATTTCAATATGGACACAAGGGTGAGTGTAGATCTTGTGTATTCCAAAAGGTGAACCGTGCTGGACAATGTTTGTTGAATATTCTGTACTATCCCCACCCATCTGAGTTCTCCCTTCTACCGGATACTTATCCACAGAGATCCAGTTAGACTTCACCAATGACAGCCATTTGTTCACAATTTGGAAAAGAGAAATAGAAATAAGTATCGTCCAGTGGTAACTGCAAACAGGCTAATGGGCATTAAACAGCTAATGTGGGATTTGCTAACAGCTTCCAAGTATCTTTCTGACAATCACCCTGGTTCTACAGGCAGCTGAGATCACCAACAGTACTGCCTTGCAATTCCTACACTAGCAAATTTCACAGTGGCCTCCCTGACCTGCATTTCCCCCCACCTTCTAATGGCCATATAAGCCCAACTCCACATACTAAATCCTTTCCTACTGGAAATAGCAGTAGTGATTTATGATTTCTTGACCAAACTCTAACTCAGAAAGTGAAGGCAAAGAAACAGTAAGACAAAAATGCTATTTGAAATATAACTTAGGTCAGCAAGTATTTTATTTATTAAGCAACTATTACGGCAAAGTCATTGTGCTTAGGCACCGAGAAATATATGTATATGTTGTTTAAGCAGAGTTCATTTGTCCACAGGTCCTTTCCATATGATCTGTGTAACCAGTGTACCCAGTACACTGAACAGCACAAGGTAAGAGTGGAAAAGCAAGAGCTGGCTGTTAAATTTTGTGAAGGTATTATGTATTAAATACATATTAAATACATAAATGTAATAAATGATCCAAGTTTTGAGGCATCCTATTTGGGCACAAGCTAAGACATGATAGATTCTTTAATTTAAAAATCAAAACATTAAAATTCAGCCCTATCTTCTGAAAGGGTGATTGTCAACATTCTCAGAGCTGCCCTCACCTAGTTTCAGCATATTGAGCCCAAAGGAGTTGAGAATCATTAATTTAGGAACATTACACTTTGGGAAGGTCAAGTTGAGGAGACCAATATATGTACAAGTCACCTAGCTTTTCTCTGTTCTAGGGGACTCCAGTCACTGTCCTTTATTCCTGCACAGTGTCACAGGAAGAACCAGGAATTTGCAAATAAATTTATACAAATCTGTCTCTGCTGAGAAAACAACTCAAAGCACTTAAGTTACTAATGTTCTGTTGGTAAAGTCAATTCTGCATTCAGAGGCCAGAATATTTCCCACTTCACTTAAAGCATCAAAAAAAGAGAAAAAGACTACATATATGAAGAAGTTTCAAAATGTTACTTTCAAACCAAGAAATGCTTTGAACTTTAGTAACAACACATGAGTCCAAAGCTGATAACCAAGAATATAAGACAGAAATTCTACAGAGATTTCCCACACTTCTTAAGTTTCTACATAGCAGCAGTAAAAGTAAATTCAATGTTGGGTTTACATTTTATTCAAAGGATAAATACAAAATTAAGAAAGCAAGACATAAAATTCAAAGCAAATATGCTTGATATTTCAAAACAACTCTACATACCAAGTAAATACAAAAAAACACACAAAAGCCCATAAATCAAACTGGCTAGAAACATTCAAGTCTGTGAGTTGAATTTAATGCAATTTCACTTGCCCCGAAACTGAAAGCCTTTATTGTCTCAGATATTTTCCATCCCATTAGGAGCATTATTTGAAGGCAAAGCTTTCGAACGAGTCCATCTCACAGTGAACTTGCCATAGGAACACATCCATGACTGATGATGCCCAGCTGGCTTTTCCTCATGAGGCCAACAGTGTCACCTGAAATTGGCTGTTGGCAAAAACAAACTGTAGTGATCCTGACACATCTAGACCTTTGCAACCACGATGTTGTATGACAATCTAAAATGAATGGGTATATACCTTTGGGTCTCACAAAGCTAAGAACGCATATTAGTTAAGAACCAAGGGATCATTTGCCCTTTAGGTAAAATTGATCTTGAATTCTCAATGAGTATTATATAACACACTTTGGGAATTCTGTCAATTTTCCTTCTAAGACCTCACTATATTTATATCCATTTCAAAACATACAAAAGCAAAAATTAACACCTAAAGATCCCCAGCAACAGCTGTGAGTTTCATGATATACCTTATTTGGTGGCTCTGATTTTTGGATTGTTGGATGCTTCCAAATCACTCGTTATACTGCAGAAATTAAAGCATATGAAAACATGCTAATTGCTTTCATCCTAACAGGCTTAAAATTTTACATAGAGAGAGCCAGACTGATAAATGAAAGGGAAGGAAACAACTATAGTTCTATCCAGAGAGCATTTCTCCAACTGTTGCAAGCTCCATTTTTGATTCCATATTTCCAATTATACATTCATACTTCGTATTCAAGTCTCTTGAAATATGAAAAGGAAAATAGGGCTACACGACAGCATTCTCTATGAGGAAATATGTAAGTGAACCTTGGAACTTGAGTCAATGAATCAAGTTAATACAAAGTTCACAAATAGGCCTTTTGTATCTTGGAAACAATCTCTTGTACACGCTAACCAAAAAGAGAATAATGAATTTATCTTATTACGTGTATATTTCTTTGGAAGGGGTCAGCTATAACCTGGCAACTTCTCTGTATATTATTATGATTAGTTTATGGCTCCAGGATGCTTGTTTAGCAAATAAAGTTCCTACATTATTTTTAAAAATGAGGGAGAACTATTTACCTGCAGATTCATGAGAGAAACTGAATAAAGATTTCTTCTCCTCATCCAAGAATATTAAGAATTTATTTTTCCTAAATGCCACTCCAGTGAAAAGTGGACTCTTAATTTGGGGGGAAATTATTTCTTGGCCTTTAATAAGCACTCAGTAAACACTTACTGATAGCCAATGGAGGAGAATGTAAAGAAAACTGTTCACTAGGAGAAAAGCTGAATTTTATGTCAAAAATGCAGCCTGCAGAAAAAATGATCCAGGCTGGTGTGGCAGCCCTAGGCTTTGCTGCAGAGCAACACAGAGAAAGAGAGAGCTGAGAGGCTGGGCTCAATCCTACGGGGAGGCGAACAGCACGTCCATTCATTCGAACCTCCCTGGAGAAACTGTCTCCTGCAAACACAGCAAGTGCTGTGAGCGGCAGGATAGAGATTTTAGCTTGCTCTTTATAAAAGGATCCTAGAAACGGAACCTTTGTTCTATAATTAACAGATTGCTAGATATACAGAAACTTTAGATTTGGAGTACATGCTGTCTTGCTACTCATCTATCTTAAATATCCTTCTTTTGCAACTATCAATTCACTTAAAGTTGTTGATTACCGTATACCCTGGAAATTGGCTAGAAACAACAAATTCTCACAAAAAATTTTGAGAGACTTGAGAAAGTATAATATCTATGAATATGACATCAGAAAAAGTAGAGCCTTTGTTTTAGCTAATGATCCTTCCTAAAACAACTGGGAAGGTGGAGTCGAGACGTGGCTTTTGATTATATTTATGCAATCATTCCTTCTTTTTAAAACAGCAACAGTAGTGAATAAACGTAGTGAATAAACATCAGAAATGTTTACTTAACATTAACAAGTAAAGTAAACACTGGCTACATTCTTAGTACAATAGAATCTTCAACACAACTACAAACACGTATACACTTCAAATATTGGCAAATTGCTTCAAAATGCAATTCTCAGCAAGTTTTTGGTAATTTATTCACAGTTCAGGATTAGAGTCACTAGACTTACAAGACATGAGGAAGAAATGACCAATTGGCTCAGTAATCTAAACATTCATTTTAAAGAACAGAAAACAAAGCAAGGATGATTCTAAAATTTCCAGCTCACAAGAAATATAAACAAATACCAAAAGTTTTATTTAAGCAAAAAAAAATTTCAACCACAGAACATTTAAAAAGCTAACAGGATCATTTCTGTATTCATTCTGAAAACTAGTAAGAAAGGTAATTCAAGAATTTCCTAAAATGTACTCATTATTTATGGTATATTCCATAACATTGATATCAAGCTATTACAGACTTATATGTTAATATGGCATAACTTTACAGTCTTGCTACTTAACTATGATTTTTATTTTAACCCTGGATATTACTGGTTCAAAGCTAATGTTATCAGTCCTACTGGTTGTCATGTCACAGATCTGAATATAGCGTTAAATTTAGCAAGCTAGGGAAATACTGATGTATTAATAATCTTTAAATATTGGGGGTAAAAACTGATTTAAGTGTTAATACTTCTAAACTTAAGACTCTAAACACTGAAAACAAAGAAAGTAATCCGAAATATGTTTTCATGGGTAAAACACTCTGTCTGGAATTCTGGTATACAATATCTACTAAATAAGTGGATATAGGTCTAAAATCTCTTTACCATTCCCTTCAATTTCTTTGGCCTTCACAAATTCAATGTGAGCTATGAATTCTGTTTCAATAAACACTTTTCAATGACACTGTGCTTTTTAGAAAAATCGCTGAAGTTGTAGCATACAAATAGTTAACATTAGTCTTTCCCTTTTATTGCTATAGTCTATCTTAATTTTTTAAAAAGATATGAGAAAAAACTGACCCCAAAGGACTTCTTAAAATGTTTGTTAAAGCAAACATTTCAGCTGATTTTCCTTCCTTGAAGAGTTAATAGAAATAAGTGTCAAAGGACTATCACCAAGGAGATTAAAAAAAGGCTCCTTTCCTCCCATTCTCATAATTAACTCAGGCTAAGAGATTTGTATTCAAAAAGATAAGACAATATCATCCCAGCAACAACTTTCTAAGAAAGTTAAGAGAAAATCTATCAGCTCTCTCAACCAACAGCCCCACATGCACGTCACTTGGTCAGCTCCCTCTGAAGAGGGCTGCTGCTGGCCTGCTTCTCACTTTTGCATCCAACAACTGCTGTTCCTCAGAGTACCACAGAAATAAGCACGCGCGGCCTGTGATGATAACTTACTCCACAAAATGGATTTCACCTCTTACAAACATGAAACGTCCCAAAACTTGGACCATGATTTAAGTGAAAAATCCACGCACAACACTTAACCACCCAGCTCCACTCCATCTTCCATTCTCTCCCCCTGCGCCTCCAGTGACCCTAGTCTTCACTAGTGCCGAGTCCACTCGGGGCCAAGCAGACTTTGCTGTAAATGAGACGTATTTTTCAGTTCCCAGCACAGTTCCTCGCCCACAATAGGTTGCTAACATAGTTATAACAAACTAAAAATAGTTAACGTTAGTTTTCCCCCTATCATTCATTCCTATGGCATAGGTGACTAAAAAAAGATAGAAAAGCTGACTCCAAAGTAACAATCATTTACGGGGCCATGTGTCAGATGTTACACATGATTCCCGGCCTAAAAAGGGCTCACGGCCTGGGGCAAGGAACTGTAAGTCATATATGAGTGAATTTAAACTTTAAATGCTCTACAAGAAAGAACTTTTTATATAAAGGACTCCTTTTGTAGAATATCTTTCTTGACCTTATCCTATATTATATTGGCTTTAACTGGGCATGCACACTCCTTAGTGATTTGCCTCATTACAGTATCTTTTTTGTGTTTACAATTAACTTATAAAAGCATGTAAAAATCACTACATTAAATGGGGTAGGGAGCAAGAAGTAGGGATGGGGGGAGAAACCATGTTTGTTTGGAAATATCACTTCTTTGTTCTTAATTTCAACTTTTGATATTCAGTTTAGAACTTATCCTAGCTTGAAGAATGTGTGTGTGTGTTTGAGAGAAACAGAAATAGAGAGACTGTGAAAAACTAATGACTGATTTTACTTATTAGTTTTCACTTAGAATGCTGACTCAAACATTAGACCATTAAGAAATGCTACAAACCCATACAAATCACGTGCATAAAATGCTAATATAACAAACATAAGAAATGACACTATACGCATACAAAAACTACCAGGCCTACACAAAATAACCTCACAAACAATTCAGATAGATAAATATAGCTATAGTAGCTATATATAGGATGTAAATAGTAACCCTATTTTATTTTTAAAAACAATTCTAGTCTCTAGGAGAGTCCTTCCAAATTACCTCAAAATACGCCAGTTCTTTCTCTAACCCTAACATACAAGCAGAATTCTGTTTCTCTTGCAGCGATCACTATTAGAAAATCTTAACCTCAACAAGAAGTTCAAACACAGAAAAAGGAAAAGACTAAGGTTACTTAATTATGCTAAATATCTTACCTTGAACATTTAAAAGCGAAAACTCTTGAAAGAGAAGGACTTAACCAAAACATAAACACGCAGTCCTAGAACCCCCAAGATTTGGCCCAAAAAGCTCCGTGAAGAAGTTACTACTTACAATTTTTCGCATGTCAAACTAATACTCTACTCTAAATATTTTAATCTAAATTGTTAATTTCCATTTCTGACACTGAAGGCACCTCAATATCACTTTATTTATTTATATCTTCTCCATTCCTAAATATATTTCAGGGGTAGAACACAGAAACTACAGAGAGAAGAATACCTAGGAAGTAATCCTAAATGTGATGCCATCCTTCACAAGCATCAGTGTACAGCATGAAGCTGTTCCTAAGCCTAGCCCATCACATACATTTAGAGTCAAATGATTAGTGAAAAGACTTGCAAATATTCCAAACAACTGCAAAGAACTTCCCAACTGACTGTACTACCGGTACTGAAGGTACTGGTTTTATATAACAAGGCAGTGAAGGGAAGTTAAAATTAGCTTCAGGAAATTCCTCTTTGGGAAAAAGTTGAAGAAAATTCTGAATATATCAGTATTGATTTAATTTGAGACATCTGATAGCAATTCTGCGATGATTTCAAAGAACAAGATAAAATATGTCACTCAGCAGCCATTAAAGAAAACTACAGATGCAAGGAAATAAAAACCAGTTTTAGGAGATGAAAAAACAAGGAGTAGGATATCCAACATGTATGTATTTCATCTTCAAATTTAAAGTCATATTGTCAGTTGTCCAAAGCAGCTCAAATTTAAAGTGTGTGCTACGAAACTGTGCAAATGTTTTCTTTTAAGGGCTGGAGAGACCCAGTGCATGACCAGACTACTCAGCCTGCTAAGCCACCTCGACCTACAGCTAACAGGCAACAAGCGCGAGAGATAAGGTTAGGTCAACCTAACTCAGAAATTCCACCAAGAAAAGTTTTCAGTTTTTAAGTTTTACAGTGTGTTTTAAAAAAAACCAAACAAATTTCAAAATAAATCACAGCATCTTCTCTTTATGTATAACTTAGCAAAATCTTAATTTAATGTCCAAGTATTAGCATACATTACTGCTGCCATTGGGCTGTATGAATAGAAGTGTGGTAAAACAGACGCCAATTATTTTAAAAACATACAACCCTCTCAGATTGAAGTGGAGGGCCCAGAAATCCAACACCCAGCACCCTTTAAAGAAAATGAGAGTCAAATCTCTAGTACCGATTCCAATATAGATTCCATTATTCGAACTCCCCCACAAATCACTGGAAAAATATGAGGTAACTCACAAAAATCACAAATTGAGTAGAATAATTATAACTGATATATAAATAAAGATTTACTTTAAAAAGGCTTAAAGGGGTGATATTTTAAATCAAGGTTTTAAATATAAAAGGTGTCTTGTGTTGCTTCATCGCCCAGAGTTTCAGATGCTCCTCATTCTACAGTTACAGATTTGGCAAGATTCCGGGGGAAATCAACCTGCAAAAAAAAACCAAGATTTGAGAGATTATACAGACTGGGGGGAAAAGAGGAGTTGCAAATTACTTTTGTTTATAGAAACAGAAAACAACACATTCATTAACCATCTTTATTACAGACTACAAAGAATTAAGATTAGAAAATACAATCAAATAATGTACCTTGAAAAAACTTAAAATCACAAAAAAGAATTCTAAAGGAGCCAGTTCAGCACAGGAAGAGCTCCTCTGGTCCTCCACAGAGGCAGCACCCTCACAGAAGACACTAGAAATGTATTAAGAGCAGGATGACTGGGGGACCAGGAATGCTAAAAGTCCTGCAGTGTGTGGAACAGACAATCCCAAACAAAGAACTGAAAATAGCTACTCCGTTAAGAAACCTAGAAAGAAAACAGGTGGAGATTCTCCAAGGAGGTAATCTCAATCAGGGAGGTAACCTCCAAGGTTCCTCCAAGTTCTATGGCTAAGAAACTGTAACTTACAAATTGGGCCATGCAAATATAATGGTGACAGATATTTGTATCTGATGGATTTCTCAAATGCTATTGCTACAAAATGAGGAGGAAAACTACCAGAATGAACCCAGGTAAAAAGCCAGCCCAAGATTTCTGCGGTGGTCCATCACTTACATCATAGCCTCTCAGCACAGCAAGGTGGAAAGCCAGCAACTGTAAGGGGATCACGCTGAGAATTCCCTGCAAGCAGTCCACCGAGTGGGGCACCTTGATTGTTCTTTTTGTGTTCTTAATGGTCTCGGTATCTTCCTTATCACAGATCACCACTGGGCGTCCCTGGGAAAGAAAATCACACACACAATCTCTGGTGAGCAAAGGCAGGGCTGTAGACTGTGAGTGTGCAAATTTTGCACTGCACTATTCGCATGAAGCCTCAAGGACACAGACTTATGTAAACTCACAACCCCACGCCTAAGTCACACTGACCTCACTTACAGTGAAGGAAACGGAAGCTTTGTGGGATTCAGTAATTTGTTTAAACTCACACAACTAAAAAATACCAGGCTTAGTACTTGAATCCAGATCTGCCTGCCTTCAGAGCCCAAGTTCGTAACCACTATGTTGTGAGTAGGGATTAATAACAGCTTTTGGGATTTATATATAAAGCCAAATGATCTGAAGAAAACTCAGTTAAGCAGAGCACCCATAATATTAATGTAAAAACTAGTTGCTCCTAAAATATTCATTTCAGAATATTAAATTCAAAGGGAGCAGCATACACTAACTGAAGAGGACAGGATTTGGAGACTAAGACCTTGGTTTTGGTCTTGGTTCTGCCTATTATGAGAGCTATGAGCTGGGTCCTGTCAACACCCTTGAGTATCTCAGATTCCTCATGTGTAAACCTAAGCATGTTCTGTAAGCCACCTGGTCACTGGTCTATCACTTTAAATGTCAAAAAATTCAAATAAGCTTTAGTGACCCTACTCTTAGACCCCCAACGTGTCCTCCAGCAGCTCAACTTACCTGTCTAGCAACCACCTGCTGAAGAGCATTCTGACACTTGGCATAAGTGTGATCTCTCATGATGATCATGATGACAGGCATTAACTTATCCACCAAAGCCAGAGGGCCGTGTTTCAACTCACCAGCAAGGATGCCTTCAGAGTGCATGTAAGTGATTTCTTTGATTTTCTAATAGGAAAGAACTAGATTAGTCTTGTCTGTTTTTAAAAAACTCATTCTTAAGTAGCTATCACATAAAACATCTGATGTCTAAAATAACCATCGATTTATCCAAAAGTATCAGAGGACTGCTGATCTGTAACTATAGCTAACAGGATAATAAATCATTATTTCTATAATATGAGCAAGTAACCGCAAGTTTGAAAACTCAACATAGAAATTTTAAAGATTCTGGATTGTCATGAGCGCCCTCCTGCTTCTTTGTACCTGTCCTTCTACTTGCTTTATTTTTGCCCTCCATTAAATCTCACGCCTAGAGAACTTAATCTTTATTTTATTCATATTTGGACAACAATTAACCCAAGTTATTATGCTAAAATATACTCTTCTTGATTTCACTTTTGAATTAAGTATTTTGTTGCAGTTTCTCAAGGTAAACAAATGGGAATGCATAAAAACAAAGGCACTTTTCAAAGTTCGCCCTATTTCATTCACTCAATCTAAAAGTATGACTGTGTGCCAGGTCTATAAGTCAACAGAATGAAATTTTAAGTGAGTAGACTTACTAGGGCCCCTTCAAGACAAGTAGCATAATGATAGCCACGTCCCATTATCAAGACCGACTTCTGATGATACAGTTCTGTTGCCAATTTCTGAATTTCATCATCCATGCTCAGTACTTCCTTAATCAAATCTGTTAAGAAGTAATGTTAGCAAAATCTCTGAAAAAAGGACAATAAACTGAACTGATATAATAATAATAATATATTGGTAGCAACCAACAAAAGACCAGGGTGTCTATTCTTCTGTGATATCAGTGAGTGATTTTTAAATACACAGATGCAAAAGTAGGAAGATTTTACTGAGTAAATAGCTACAACCACAGCTTTAAGGATAAGACAGTTTCACCCATTACCCAGTCCCTTAGACAACAAAAGAAGAGTAACATCAGTAGCTTCGTACCAGGCAGCCGCTTCAATCCAAGCATGATCTCTTTGCGTCTCTCTTGCATGGAGATCCTGTCATCACACATCATAAGGGCAAACATCACAAGGGATACAAACTGGCTGGTGTAAGCCTGAAACAACGCAAAAAAGCAGAAGAATTTGTTACGGTTGCATTTTAAGTACTTGGAATTTTTAATTTCAAGAAAAGATGAAAATAAAAAATTCCCATTGGTTTTATACATATATATTGTCCATTTTTAAAAAACAGCATTGGTAACAGCAAACTGAACCAGTACTTGGGAAATCTATCACTGTTCTCCTTTTCTGAATTTGAACAAACGACTTAACCTTTACTTCCAGATACAAAATAAAAGTTCCTTGTAAGACTCTGGATGCTTACGAAACCCCTAATACCAGAGAGAAAGGAAGGAAAAGAAACATGCCAAAGGAAGGTGAGAAGAGAGTGAACGCGCACGTGCATAACCAAATTAAGTCTTTGATGTAAGTCAAAAGCAAGGGTGTGAAAGACTCTCCTCGAGGTACTTGCACTGGTTTTGTTGGATTTTTTTAAAAATTATTCTTTGATTTTTCACCTTTGCCTACTGCCTGTTCTTCACTTCTACTTCTTTTTTTAAGTTTGGCTAAAAATTTTTTAAAAGTTCAACTGCATGGGGCCAGCCCGGTGTCCTAGTGGTTAAGTTCAGCACGTTCCACTTTGGCAGCTCTGGCTTGGTTCCTGTGTGTGGACCTATACCACTTGGTGGTGGCCATGCTGTGGTGGCAACCCACATACAAAATAAAGGAAGAACGGTGCAGGTGTTACCTCAGGGCGAACCTTCCTCAAGTGAAAAAAAAAAAACAAGGAAGATTGGCCACAGATGTTAGCTCAGGGTGAATCTTCCACAGCAAAAAAAAAAAAAAAAAAGTCAACTGCAGAAAAGTAAATAGAAATAAGAATAATTAATCTTACTAACAGGAATAATTACATTAGCAACATGCTATTAATAACATTTATGAATATTGCCTTCTGGTCTTTACTATGTTTTTCTTTTTTCTTTCTTTATATTCTTAACAAAACTTATTATTAGTAGGTACAGTTTTATAACTTGCTTTTACTCTTAATTTACATTACAAGCACTTTCCCAAGACAGAATGCTTTCTCTCGTGTTTACTAGTGTGTAATAACCTCGAGCCGTTTTTTCCATCTCTTTAGGCCTCAGGTGGCTGTCTGTTAAAAGGACACAATACTTACAAGATTATCATGAGAACTAAATGAGACAAATGTAAAGCATTCAGCATAATACCTGACATACAGGCTCAAGACAACCTGTACTGGTGAAGGCTTGAACTATAAGACATTTATTTCCCTAGCCTACACAATTGTGAATGTTTTAAAACTTGGAGTCACACTGCCAAGACTACCTTCATTCTCCTTAGCTGTAGGTGAATGTGAGATATGCCTGTTTTGCCACATTCTTTGAAATACTGAGAATTATCCTTTTAACAAGTTTTTACCATTTTACCACTGGATAATGGACTCTCACTAGGATTTTACTACACATATCTTGAGTCTGAAAAATTAAGATTTTTTTTCATGTTTGTTCACCATTTATGTTTCTCTTTTGAGAATTAACTTCACTGTTCTTCACTTGTTTTTTGACCTGTTTTTTTTTTCCCGGTTGGTCTTAAGAGGATCTTTACTGTTCTGTTTCCAATACTTTATTGCAGTTTGGGTTAACCTTTTACGACAGTGTTTATTGACTGTTTTTTAACTTTTAATGTAGTACTTTTAAGCCTAGATAGTTGTTCCATCCTAACAGTTAAGTATTATTAAATTTTCCTAATTCTATTCTTTTCATTCACCCTGTCTGATTTTTCCCTTTACATTTTCCTTCGTCTATCTGAAATTAATTTCAGTTTAAGGTGTTAACGTCTGTTTTTATACACAGCCAATTTTCCCCCCATTTCACCCCATCCTTTCTCTTGATTTGTGATATCCCCTAAAGTCCAAGTTCTTTGATGTACTAGAGTTACATTGCAGGACTATTGATTCTGTCCTAAAGATCTGTCATTTTTTCACAAAACAATCTTCCCATCCAGAAATATGGTTATCTCCATCGATTTGTGCTAGCAATTTAAAAGTCTATAAAGTTATCCAGTTTTCAACTATTCAACAATATTTATGGAACATCTTACACATTTCCTGGTAAAGTTATTTTTTTAAGTTTTGTTTTGGCGTTTTTTTGAGGAAGATTAGCCCTGAGCTAACATCTGCTGCCAATCCTCCTCTTTTTGCTGAGGAAGACTGGCCCTGAGCTAACATCCATGCCCATCCTCCTCTACTTTATATGTGAGCCACCTACCACGGCATGGCTTGCCAAGCAGTGCCATGTCTGCACCTGGGATTCCAACCGGTGAATCCCAGGCCACCGAAGCGGAACGTGCTCACTTAACTGCTGCGCCACAAAGCCCACCTCATAAGTATCTTTTATAGTTATTGAAAATAGAATCCTCCATCCAAACACACACTCCCATATATACTCTAAGTAGCCACCGTCAGCTTACTGAGAAAATTTTTTCATATGTGTTTTATATAAAGCACATTATATGAATTCTTATTCATTCTAAGTCTTTTACTTGATATTCTTAAGCTCTACAGGTAGTCAATCTAATCTACTAAACTATTCCCAATCGGAACTGATCAGATAGTGAATACTCCAGTTCCTCCAGCCCATAACTAAACATGTTATTCTACAGAGTAATGTTTCTTTGCTTGGACTTAAAACATCCCAACACTGGCTTTTAAGTACAAATATTAAACAGAGTAACTTTAATGCATGCATTTTTCCATTGCATTCCTATTATAGCTTAATTTCCAATTTCATGTTTTTCATTTCATCAATACAGACCAGGAAACCAATTATGAGAAAAAAAAGCTACAGCTCACATTTAGAATTTACTGAGGTTTGAAAGAATTTACCAGGAAAATGTTGACTCTGAACTTTTAAACTTGGTTTTACTTTTTTATTCAGCCAAAAATAAAGTTATATTGATTTATTTTTAAAAACCAACAAGTGTCTCTGCTGTGGTGAAATTCTAAACACTTGCAATAACATACAAAAATTGCTAAGCCTGCACAATTATACCCATCAATTCCTACAGAAATATCAAATTGTCTATGGTCTTATATTTTGAGGAAGTTAGCAATATCTCCCTAGTTTTTCAGGCAAAGTTTGGAATTCATAACTAAGATTATAGAATTCTTGTGCCAGCTCCATCACAGGGCCCAGGGATCAAGGAAGAACTTCTCTGATCACCCATTAAAATACAAACTCATATTTGCCATTCAGAAATCGTCTATGACTAAATATCCCAAAACTTTTCAATAACTCCAAGCTCAGAATGTCTAAGGCAGTTGAAGAAAACAAAATTACTTTAGAATCCATGAAAAATTAAAATAAGACTAAATCACCACACTTTCTAAATTTTTTAAGGGAACCATTTTTTTTTAAAGAAATTAAAGTACGTACTATAAAAAGATGCTTATTTTCTTATGCAAGATATAACCATTGGGGGAAACTGGGTGAAGACTGCATGGACTTCTCTGTACTGTCTTTGGAATGTCCTATAAATCTACAGTTATTTCAAAATAAAATGCCAAAAATGGAGTGGGGAGCTTGTAAAAAAAAAGAATTACTGATACAAATAACAACATGAATAAATCTCAAAAACCTCATGTTAGATGGAAGAAACCAGACACAAAAGACATGTATTATACAATTCCATTTTTAAGAAATTTCTAGAAAATGACATAATATAGAAAGAGAAAGCAATAGTAGTTGCCTGAGGCTGAGGCTGAGGGGTAGGAGTGGGGATTGACTGTAAAAACAGCGCAAAGCGGGGCTGGCCCGGTGGCATAGCAGGTAAGTTTGCGTGCTCCACTTCAGTGGCCTGGGGTTTGCCAGTTCGGATCCCAGGTGCAGACCTGTGCATGTCTTATCAAACCATGCTGTGGCAGGTGTCCCACAGATAAAGTAGAAGAAGATGCACATGGATGTTAGCTCAGGGCCAACCCTCCTTGGCAGGAAGAGGAAAATTGGCAGTGGATGTTAGCTCAGGGCTCATCTTCCTCAAAAAACAAAAAAGGGCACAAAGGAACTTTTTCAGGTGATTAAGTCTTATAAAACTGGATCGTGGTGATAGTTACACAGTCAGATTTAGTAAAACTACACATTTAGAACTGGTGAATGTTACGGTATGAAAATTATACCTCAATAAAGCTGTAGGAAAAAGTTAATGGTAGACCTCAGATGATGGGTGTATGATTGTTAATGTAAAATTCTTTCAACTCTGCAGTATGTTTGAAAATTAGCATAACAAAATATTGAGGAAAATTAAAGTTTTCATGAACAAGAGAATTAGAAATCAGAAAAACGGTATTTCCCCTGGCAGTTCATGGTTCAAGAAAGATTAATGAAAAGGAAGTCAACAGCATCCCTTCACTGGTATGAGCCCGTATCCCACATACGCCACATTGAAGCCCCTGTTTCACAATGTGTTGTGAATAAAGGCGCCCTGGGACTCCAAGCTCCAATCAAAGCTGTCTGTCTGGACGCTGTTCCAAAATCCACAAGCTGCTGCTGAGGGCGGCTGGTTACTTATTCAGGCACAGAATGAAAACCCAAGCACAAACGTCTTACATGTTTTAATTACCACGCGGAGAAAATTCAGGTTTCAGCTTTCTGTAAATTATAGTGTTAGCAATATCAAAGTAACCAAGAAACAAAAACCTCACTCAGAGTTTTTACATAAGAATCATAAATTTTCCACAAAAAAAAATTCTCCATGAAGTTCTTTAAAAGGAAAACAATTCAAACATGGTTATATACGTTAACATCATCTCCCACACGCCAGTAATTAAACTCAAATCCACCAATACCTAAGCATCTTCTTATACATCAGCAAGAAATATTAGACTTAAGCAGAAAAATGGACAAACAAAATTTTGAAGCTGTAAAGAGTAATACATTCATGGAGAGAGAGTATCTTTTACATCTACACAACTTTCTAAGATTCCCATTTTGTTTTTTTAAAGATTGGCTCCTGAGTTAACAACTGTTGCCAATCTTTTTTTTTCTCCCCAAAGCCCCCCAGTACATAGTTGTATATCCTAGTTGTGAGTGCCTCTGGTTGTGGCATGTGGGACGCCGCCTCCATATGGCCTGATGAGCGGTGCCATGTCTGCACCTGGCATCCAAACCGGTGAAACCTTGGGCCAGTGAAGCGGAGCATGCGAACTTAACTACTTAGACACAGGGCCGGCCCCAAAGATTCCTATTTTTGTTACTAGTACTAAACTCATACATATCCTGATTTCAAAGAGCAAGTTACAGGCAAGTGTCAGATAACGACATTTCGGTCAAGAACAGACTGGTTTTATGATGGCAGTCCCAAAAGATTAGCACCATATAGCATAGGTGTGCAGTAGGCTATACCATCCAGGTTTGGGTAAGTACACTCTATGAAGTTCACACATTGACAAAATCGCCTAAGGACCCATTTCTCAGAACATATCCCTTCTGTTAACCAACACATGACTATAGTCTCACTAGGCCTTAAAAAAAAAAAAAGGTGCTTTTAAATCTCTACAGATGTAGCATCTGAAGAGAAACAGATATTGTCACATAATACGCATTTTTATTTTTTTAAATCATCAAATTTTATACCAAAGGTGTAATCCCCCTTACAAACTTTCAAAGGTAGTATGTATATTTTGGCATATTTATTAGAAACTATGAATATGTAAATAAAAGTGTGAAAAATTATTAGAATTAAATTGGATGTTTCTAATTTGTTATTTTTTTAATTCCCTTCTATACTTAATCAAAGAGGGGATGTTATACTTACCATGTATCCCACTGCACCGGGCAGGAGGAATATAAGTGGTGAAGGGGGCTAGCCAGCAGAGACCTTCCCAGAATGGACTTCTGTTATATTCATTTGTCCCTTTTAAACTCTTAAGAGGGGGGTGAGGATGGGGAGGACAAGTGTTTTACCTATTATTGACCCTTAAGTCTTATAATAATTCTCATGATTAGTAAACTATATGAATTCTGTAAGTGCTAACAAAGGAAACATAAGATAGGAATTAGTCTGTTTCACCAACACTATGATTAAATAATCACACGAGAACTAAGTCAAGAATTTACCTTTGTGCTGGCCACACCAATCTCAGGCCCAGCATTAATGTGAACGCCACAATCCGTCTCCCTTGATATGGAACTGCCGACCGTGTTTGTGATCCCCACTGTTAAGGCTCCCCTCTCCTTACAGTACCGAAGACCCATCAGGGTGTCTGCTGTCTCACCTATGCAAAAACGAAGCAAAAGGAACAGAGCGGTCAACATATGCTGTTTCTTAGATGCAAAAACAAACACTGACTTTCAACAACATCATTTGCTTTAAATAAAATTTAAAATGTATTTAAAATAATAAATTTGTAAAATTTTTAATAATGGGATCCTACTTTTTAGGATCTCTACTTCATCTTTTAAAATTCAGCTCTTTGAGTGTAAAATGTGTTAATTTTACTAATTTGTAGAGAATTACATAATATCAAAATAAATCTGTCTTTATCAAGTCATCTGCAATACCACTTTATCTTTAAATATCAGGTTTTGCCAAGACACGCTATAATTATTAAAAAGAATACTTTCCTTTCCTTCAAGTCTTTAAAATTAGCATACCTGACTGACTAATGAAAAAGCAAACATCGTCTCGAAAAACCGGCGTGTTTCTATCCAGGAAATCACTGGCTAGCTCCACCATAACAGGCAACTCAGTCAGCTCTTCAAGAACTTGACGTGTCTGCAGACAAAAGATGACTTGGTCATACAACTTTACTTCAAATGCTCTTTCTCACTAGACTTCTTTGGACTCAATGTATAGTTTTCACTTTTTCAGATTATAAAAATAATACATGCGCATTGTTGGAAAATACAAACAATACAGATTAAAGCATAAAAAATAAAATAATCAAAATCCTACCACCTAGGAGATAAGCACTGTTGACATTTTAGTCCAAGTCTCTTTACACACCTATCAATGCATGTATTCTTACAAGCAAATACACATACATATAAAACGTTTTGAGAAGTGGAAAAAGCACTGCTCTGAGTTAGCTTGCATGTGTTATCTCCAACTTCCCAATTATTAATCCTGTATGACAATTCATATAATACCAAGTCAGTCAGAGATTTCAAATGAGATAAAAACAGATGTATAAACACCCAGTGAAAATTTCAACACTTCAAAAATGCTTTGTATTCATAAATAATACTGTTTCCGAAAAAAAAAAAAAAAAAGTCAACATGCTTTAGAAATCTTGTTTAAGAAAGCTCACTATTTTCAAACTTTGCAGTATGGACGGTAGAGTAGGGGGCAGTATGGTTCTGTCCACAGGGCACCTTAACATTCATTTTGCTAAATTTCCATTCTAATTAAGTTTCTTTTACTCTAAACATCAGAAAATTAAAACAACAGGAAAATTAACTTTTAGGCAGCAAAAACTGTAGGCCCCACAGATGGATACATTTAGTTGTTTTAATAATAACTGTGGAGACCACTTGCTTCTTTAGGCAAGCGGCCCTCCAGCTCCCACTCCATCTTTGCATTCACAGCAGCGAAGAACTGTAAAGCTTTCCTTACTTCATGTCCCTTTCACTTTCTTGCCTACGAATGCAAACTATTCAGTTTGGTTCTATAACCTTGATTTTAATACTTTTTAACAATGGTATAACATCATGTACAGAAAAGTCCTCAAAGATAACAGGTCCCTATTTTTAACTATCTTTTTCCACTGATGTATTTTATGTACTAATTATACACAAATAAGTTACCGACACTAAAATGCTAAATGTTTTCCCTCAAACAAATGTAAATCAAACTCCCCTCGCCCCAATTTACAATATAAATGTTACACTGGCATTACATTCTTCAAAATAAAGAGAAAGATCCAAATCTGGCAACTTACCAAATATTTAAAAATAATATACCCCAAAAAAGAAATCTCAAGATACATATGCACTAATGAACAGTTGTTCTTTCAGTGGAAGCAGCTCTTTATAAATAGACAGAATGACATATTTTCATCATAAGAGACTAATTTAATGTACAAATGCTATTGCATGCCACTGTAAAAACCCAGAGACAACTAACATTTTGAAAAGCAAGCTGTACTTAGAATGTTTCGGTTGATTGTTATTGTTCAGGATACAAGCTATATACGAAGAAAACAGTTATGCAAAGATGTCATTGTGTTTCTGACCCTACCAAAAAAACAACAAAAAAAACCTAGATGGAATAAATTTCATGACACTATTTTGTATGATAAACTGCAAAGAAATTTCTAATGTTTGTTAACTACAGTACTCTCAGCACCCACCAAAAATAAATAAATAAATAAAAACCCTTCACATCTTCTCAAATTTCAGAATTAAAGAATTCTAACACAGCATATAATTTCTGCTCCAAAATTCAAGCTTAGCATTAGATGAAATAATTAATTTTTTTATTTCTGAATAGATGGCTCACTCAATAATAGATCTAAGCCACCAATAAATTAGCCAATCCCTTAATTTACACTAATGTCTTTAATTCATTCTTTTTTCTTCCATGCTCAAAACAACTACTTTCTTACAACTCTTTCTTTCAATACTGCATAGACTTTCCTTTTTAGGATTATGTAAATTTAGGGGGAGAGGAGAAGTAGGGTGCTTTAGAGAAGAGCAAAGCCTGTTGAGATGCAAGGGCTAGATGACCAGCTACTTTCACTCACTAGTTAAATGACTAGCTCCCACAAGTGTAGATAATAAATATTTATACCCCAGCAAATAAAAAACTACTATGTCATGAACTTTGGGAATCAATCCTAAAAGTAGAAACTGAGTGTGTAAGGGTCTTCTGTACTTATGGGAGTTAATATCAACAGCACATATACCGTCTCCTTATAAGAAAACTACATGTGGACCTGATTTATTGGACAAAAAGGCCATTATATTGCTATGCTTCAGCACTGACAACCAACACAAGTCTTTGATACAGTATTTCAGCTTCCAAAATAACAATTTAAAGAACAAAGTCTGAGAAAAAGCAGATTTCTTTTCTTTGCAGAAATGTGCCTCCTAAGTAAAATCCTGTTGAGGTTCACACATTACCAGCCATCTGTCTGGGGCATGTGAAGAATGATAAGGAAAAGCCAGTGACTGCTCTTATAGAAGTAGGCCAGGATGGTGCAAAACCTTTCCCCTCTTTGCCTCTCATGAAGTCAGCTGCAGGTGGTCCACCTGTAGATCTAAGGACCTCTCTGAAGCAGATCTGCCATTGGCAAATAATTCCAAGCAGCTATTAAAATTTCTCCCCCCAACCTCTTTGATTGTTATCATTGCAACACGAAAAGATAACACGATGTTTTAACAAGAGAGAGTTTCACAGGGTATGTTACTGGAGGTATGATTTGTCTGCAGATACCTTCTAATACCCAACAAAACACAATTAAAATTTTAAGAAGCCACTTACTGCTACACCAGCATGATAACTTGTTCCACAAGCAATAAGAATCAAACGCCGACACCTCTGGATCTCCTTAATGTGATCCTTCAAACCGCCCAAATTCACTGAAATAAAAGTTTTTTTAAATAATTATTTTGGAAAGAACCATATGAAATAGGCAATCACTTTTCATGCATGTCCACTGCCAATCTGGGAAACAATACTGTTTTAAAGAATTCATATTCTTCTCAGGAAGCATAGTTCTCTATAGTTTTGAAAAGTAAATTAAATAAGTCAACTTAACTGGCCTCCCCAAACTTGTAACTAACCTTACTGATGCCCCTAGATGCCCACACACAACTAAAGTATTTATCACGCTCTACCTTGTTTGGTCATTTTTACATAACTCTCTTTAGATTAAAAGTTATCTTAAAGGCACAACTATAGGGACACAGACAACAGATCAGGACATGCTCCTGGCTGGAGGCAGGGAAGGAGCTGACTAGAAAGGGGCATGAGGAGATGTTCACAGTGACTGAACGGTGCTATATCTTGATTGTTGTAGAGTTTAGCATTACGACCATATTGTGGAAGTTCATCAAAACTCACTGAATTATACATTATGAATGGTGAATTTTATTATATCTAATTATAACTCAATAAGCCTGCTTGGGGGAAAAAACCTTAGTTATGTTCATTTCCCCTACGGCACCCAGAACAGTGCTCTGAACACAATATAGACCCATCCCCTCTCAGTCTTTCCCATCTCAGTAAATGCCATCCCCATTCACCTAACATCAGAATCATCCTTGATTGCACCTACCCCTCCTCCACACCCACCCCACAGGCAAGACCCCTGAGCTCCACCTTCAAATTGCACCTTTGGTGCCATCCCCCTAGTCCAGCATCTCTCCCCTGGACAAGAGCGACGTTCTCCTAACTCTTCTCTCCCCTATTCTCCACCTCCTAGAGCCTGTTCTCCACAGTCAAAGTGATCTTTTAGAGTAACTCTTTAAAAACATAAATCTGATCTCAAAACCCTCCAACGAGTCTGTCCTCTTTCCTGGCTTTTTCACATATATGTATGTGTTCTTCTGTGAGTACCTTGTCTGTATGGATCCTTCTTCACAAGGCTAGTTTTGTCTCTGTGAGAAATTTTCATTCAACATTCATTCAATTATTCAACTAATATTTCGTTAGCACCCACCAAGTGAAGATCCGTCTAAGGCACTGTGTGGCTACGGGAGCTCTGCCCTCAGACGGTGCAAAGTCTGGCTGAGGAGAGACACATGCACACCTAAAGGCTGCACCCTCCTGCATCTGAGCCACCACTGGCTCTGTGTACTCTCCCCACCCTTTTTTCTACCTTAACTGGTTATAATTTGGAACCAAGGTGTATATGTTTTGCTTTTATCTTTTCGAACAATTTTATGTTCTTTTTAAATTTCAATACTGAAGGCATATTACATCTGTTTTAAAAAATTAGTAAAGTAGACAATAAAACAAAACAACAAAAAGCTTCCCAGATAACTTAGAATAGCATCTAAACCCCTTACTATGGCCTTTAAGTCCGCAGTGGCCCTGCCTCCTGCTGACCTCTGACCCAGTCTCCCAGCACCTCCCCTCTCACCCAGGCCACTCCAGCCAGACTGGTCTCCTGCAGTTCCCGCACTAGATCAAGCCTGGCTGTGTACCTCTGCCTATAGTGTTTTCCCACAGACCTCAGTACATACTGAAAAGGTCTGTGAAGAAAGGAAACAACAGTAAGAGGTTGGATTGGGGTCGTGCAAAGGCAAATCAGTTTGGAGATGGACTCAGTATAAAAGCAGACAGACTAACGGACAGACTTGTACTTCAGAAGATGACCAAAAATGACAGGGAGGGAAAATGGAGAGATTAGATGGTCACAAGTGTTTCCCTAAAATTAGTCCTAGCAAATTCCCTGCTGCCTTCTAGGGGCAGCTCTGGAAGGAGTGGCCCAAGGTCTGAACTGATGATGCTTTCAAGAGAAGCCTACTTCTGATAAGGTAGGCCACAACCGTGGAGACAGCCAGAGAGCCTGGAGGAGTAGGGCGGGGATGGAGCACACAGGGCACCACTCAACACAGGAGGTTAGACCGGCTCCCTAAACGACAAGTGATGTGAACTTTGGCAAGAGACACAGACAAGAGAGCCTCAATTTCCTTATCTTAACAAAAAACGGTAACAGCTATCCTGTTTATATTATAGAACTTTTATGAGGAACACATATCATAGATGAAAGTGTTTTTTAAAAATCATGACTTCTGGGGCTGGCCTAGTGGCACAGTGGTTAAGTTCACATGCTCTGCTTTGGCGGCCTGGGGTTCACGGGCTCAGATCCCAGGCGAGGACCTATACACCGCTCATAAAGCCATGTTGTGGCGGCGGCATCCCACGTACAAAAAACAGAGGAAGACTGGCACAGATGTTAGCTCAGGGACAATCTTCCTCAAGTAAAAAAGAGGAAGATCAGCAGCAGTTAGCTCAGGGCCAATCTTCCTCACCACACACACAAAAAAACCCCATCAGGACTTCTGAAAGTTTGTCTCATTCTGTTCCCTTATAAAACAAATCTTTTTCCTGATCTTATTTCTATAAATACCATAAATAATATTTATTGCTACTCTCCCAGTTCTTTCAGTTCCACCATCTTCAACAACCCCCTCTCCTCACACAGGCAGATGCAGGTCCTGGTTTAGACTGCTGTGTTTCTCTCCTGGTCCCCACTTCCCTCCTGTTTCCACTGCTCTACCCCATATGGAACAACGTCCTAACTGGCAACTGATCCCAGCCTCTCGCTCCTCCAGCGCAGTAAAGCTATGATCATCCCTAGCTCCTCAATGTCTCCTAAGTCTCCTAATAGCTCTACAATTTCCACTAAGGAGGGACCCCTCCAGACGCCCCAGTTAGAATGCATTCAAGGCCCTCCTTGGTAGCTCCTCTCACTTTCTTTCCTAGACTTACTGCTCTTTACTCCTCTTCAAGTACCAAATGTGGCAGACAAACTGGACTACGTTATTATTCCACAAACAGCTTTCTGATGGTTTTTCCACTATTTCCCCTGAGCTACTGTGTTCTAACCAATTGCAATGCTCCCGTCTCATCCTCACCTATTTTAATCTTCCAGATCCTTTAAAGCCACACCTGCTTACTTCACGAAGCCTTCCTTGGCTCCAAAGCCCCTGCCCACAAACAGATTCATGATCTCCTTTCTCTCATGTCAACATTAAACTTTACGCATTTCAACATTAAAATGTATTTCTAATGCCACTTATCATATTTTACCTTTCTTTAAGCAGATAATTATATATTCATTTCCCTTCCTATATTATAAGAACCTCAAGAAGGGGAACATATCAGAGATAACTTTCCGATGTCTCTGACATGTTCAGTATGGTGCTCTGCATGCAGATGTTCAATTCATAATTCAGCCTTCAACAAATCTCTCCTGCAAAAAAAGTCTCATGCCACTCAGAAAAGAAAAATACATAAAGACAATATTTATTCAGAGAAATCATTCTCTATCACTTAGCAGGACAGGGCCTGAAGGAGAAGATCTTTAATAATGTGCATACGACACACAGAGATTCAGGAAAAGATTTTTGCATACTTGCTATTATTTCTCAAAAACTAATTCCTAACGCTGAGAAGCTTAGCTCAAAGTTTGTCTTGTTAAACTGCTCATGATGAACGAGTAGTGTTTCGAAAACCTGATTTAGCAATGAACAGGTTAGGGACATCTTATGACCACAGACTCAGTCTCAAACTCATCTCAGCAAGGTGCACAAAACTCCTGCCACACAAGGTCTAGAGAGAGTTTCCAGAAATAAGACCAAGTTGCATTCTCACCTCTACCTTAAACATGCAGGAAGGTACAGGCTATCCCATAAGGCATCAGGCAAACACCTGGAACACCTCTGGGGAAGCTCAGACCTTTACTCACTTATAAACTGAGACAAAATCTAGGCTGAGCAGATACAGGGAAGCTTCCCAACAAGCGACCACTCTCATTCTTCTTAGAATGTATACTGTGTCTAGGACAGACCCTGATACACAGCGGGTGCCCAATAGAGGTTTGTTGAACTAAAAAGAAGTTAAATTTTTTTAATGGTACACTGAAGGGCTTCTTTTTTCCCCCAGGAAAATCCCCCTAATACTCTCATTACTGACAATAATTTTCAAATGTGATTTTTAGTCATTTTTTATAACCCTATATTGAGATACGTCATATCCCATCATATTCATCCTTTTAAAGTGTACGATTCAGTGGTTTTTAGTATAGTCAAAGTTGTGCAACCATCACCACTACCTAATTTTAGAACATTTTCATCACCCCAAAAAGAAACCCCATATCCAGGGCCGACCCCGTGGCCAAATGGTTAAGTGTGCGCACTCTGCTTCGGCAGCCCAGGGTTTCGCAGGTTCAGATCCTGGGCGCAGACATGGCACCGCTCATCAGGCCATGCTGAGGCGGCGTTCCACATGCCACAACTAGAAGGACCCACAACTAAAAATATACAACTACGTACCGGGGGGCTTTGGGGAGAAGAAGGAAAAATAAAACCTTAAAAAAGAAACCCCACATCCATTTGAGCAGTCATTCTCCATTCCTTGCTCCCCTCAGCTCCTGGCAACCATTAGCTATTATTCCCTTTTTTTATTGTGACAAAATATACATAAAACAAATTTAACATTTTAACTATTTTTAAGTGTACAATTCAGTGCATTAAGCATATTCACACTGTTGTGCAACCATCACTGTCTTCCATCTCCAGAGCTTTTTCATCATCCCAAAGTGAAACTCTATACCCATATTAAACACTAACTCTCCCTCTGCCCCTCCCCCTAGCCCCTGGTAACCACTAATCTACCCACTGTCTCTATGAATCTGACTATTCTACATACACCTCACATCAGTGGAATCATACACTGAAGGACTTTTAAAAGATGACGGGGCTCCACCGACAGCTGGCAGCCATCGTTGTTCTGTAAGGCTATAAAGAATGATGAACTTTCAGGCTGTCAATGCCAACTCCCATGGGAGACTCTGAAATAACAGAATAATTCACATGTAATTACCAGTATAGTCATCAAAGTTGACTCTTCCTCTCATGGTGTTCACAACTGACTCTGGCTGCTCAAAAATTTCCTTCTGCATAAATGAACTGAAGTTGCCTAAAGTAACAGAAATTATATGATTAAAACAAAAATTAACAAACCAAAGAAAAAGAAATTTGTACATAACTAAAGATCTATCTTCTTGAACACAACCTTAGTATAAATTAAATGAAACAAAAGGTCACGTGATAGAGAACAATATTCATATACGACACTTTATCCTATGTGAAGAAAATGAGCATGTAAAAAGGAAAAAGGACTTTTATTAACTTCATGCCTGAAATATGGAATTACAGCAAAACAGGGGAGTGGAACAAGCTGAAGTTTTGGAGTCAGAACAGACCTAGGTTCAAATCATGGCTCTATCCCTTTACTAGCTAAAGGGTTCTGAGGAAATTCCTGAATCTGCAAAATAAGCACAGCACCTCCTTCACAGCATTGTAGTGGAGATTAATACAGTAAAGACTTGACATAGAGCAGTTATGCAATAAATGTTAGCTCTTATTCCCACTACAACCCCATCAGCAAGGAGGAGAATAAAAACCATCACCACAATAATCATGACAGTTAATAGCAGCAAACATTATGTAGGGCTCACTAAGTGTGTCAGGCACAGTTCTAAGGGCTTTAGATATATTAGCTCTCTTAATCCTCAACACACCTTAATGAGGGAGGTCATATTATCCCCATTTTATACATGAGAAAACTGAAGCACAGAGAGAATAGAGAGGAATAAAGAACAGGACACAAACTATGTTTATAAAGTATCTTAAAAATATCGAGTACTATTTAAATAATCTATCTTTTTTTTAATGTTAGAAACAACAAACCATGAATTAGTTTGAAGGAGAACTACTGTGAAACCAGCTGATAATTTCTCCAAAGAATCATCCCTTTTCCTGGGGTTATCCCTTCACTAATCACGTGGAAGATTTCACTCAGCATTGTTATCAGATTGCTACACTAGGAGAGGAAGTAGAATGTATCCTTTCCATTAAGGACAACACGACAAAAACTTTCACCCTTCATGATCTGCTGGAGCTCCATCTGGAGGGTTTGCACAGCTCGTCCAGGGTGATCGCCAGCAGTTCGTTTAATTCGATGGATAGAGAGACGGCCATCCACCACTGCTGCGACATCATCATCTTCAAGAAAGATGACGCGATTGGTGTGTTCTATGACAGCACTGTAAAACGTTCAAGGAGATAATACAATCAATAATCAAGGATGATTATCACAAATAAAATATCATTAGGACACAAGGACCAAATGTAAATACAAACTGGATCATCCTGCAATATCTCTGATAACCTGATTATCAATGCCATTCCCTACAAGGGTATGAGGAGGCATTGGTCACTGTGGATAACAAATAAAAGGATCTCTGTGCAGCAATCTAAACCGAATTAGATTAGATCAGAGAGCATGGCCATTTCTCCTTCTCATTCTATCTATCACCAAGTCCTCCAATTTTAACTCCTAAATATTTCTCAAAGCTCCTCTCTATGTCTGCTACCACAAACCAGTTAAAGCTACTGTCAGCTCTCGGCTGGACGACTGCAGCAACCTCCTAACTTATCCAACTACATTCCCTCTAATCTCCCTCCATCCAGTCTCCATTTCTGCCAAAATTGATATCAAAAGGCAACTCTAATCAAGATTTCTCCTTCACCCAATAAACCACTTGACGGCTTCCCTGTGGCTCTCAGGAAAACAACAAAATGCCCTGCTGTAACCCTACCTCCTTCTCTAGCCTCACCTCCCACCAAACTTCCTGTCTCTACTCCAGCCACACTCACACCCATCCCAAACTCTCACAGGCTGATCCATTGCAGAGAATGAATGCTCTTCCCTCTACCTCTTCACCTAACTAACTCTGACTCCTTAACTTTCAGTTCAAGCATCATGCTCTTAAAGACATTTACCCATAGGAGGGTACATCACTCTGTTACAGGGATTCTGTAGCTCTTGTCACAGCTGGAATTCTATCCTTTATGATTGATTAAAATTTGTCTCCTCCATTAAGGAAGAGTTCCTTAAGGACAAGTAATCTTTTTATTTTTATTCACCATTATCTCCTGAGCCTAGCACATAGTTTTGCCAGAGAGTTCAATATGAATGTACTAGTGAATGACAAAAGGCTGTTATGTTTCTGCAATTTCCAGTTTATTGAAGCCATATCTGTCAACTCTGTAACAAACCTGCTTAACGACATCAATGACAAATTTTAGCACTGACTACACACCTGCAAAAACTAAAAAACAGTGACACTTGTTTTCTCACTGAGATAATGCATTCCCTGTAGTCCTAAACTGGATCATTTTTCATTTTTAGATCCCCTTACTCTCAGGCACAATGAATGACTCAAATACTTCTTGGCAATTTGAGTGATTCCATTTTATCCTCATTACTATTAGTGTTTTATTTATAAATGCATCTAAGCATCCCACTGTATTTTTCTCTCAAAATGTCTTACTCTAGTACTATTTCCTTTATAAAAGTGATTATGCTGCAAATTACTTCTGAATTAAAAAGATAAGCGTCCACACTGGACTAAAACTACAACGGTTTAGCATCTACACTGAAATAAGTGGGATACTAAGCCACTGTACTTTTCCATCTAAAATCTCTCCTCCCTACAAAACCTGGGTAAGGCTCCGAAAAGAAGAGGAAAAATAATACAAGAGCTCAGAGTAAATACACTGGAACAAGTCTCAGACGATTATCCATTCTTGGTAAACTCACCTACGTGCTTTGAACAGGGAGATGCAGCGTTCTTAGAGCCACATCTCCAAAGAGGTCACCTACACTTCCCTAATTAACCATCTCCGGCACACCATGACTAGATTTATACAAAATGACTTCTCGGTTTCCTGTAGCAGGAAAGAAGTTTTACTGAAAATTCTCCTTGAATCAACGAAGGAAGCTCACCTTGCATCAGAAGCAAAGTAATACTCCACTGCTTTTTCCTCAACAGGGAAGAGGCAGGTTGTGCTGTCCACACGGGAGAGATTGCAGCTCCCTTTCTTGTCTTTCCCTGGAGCACAGGGTTAACAGTGATCAGCAAACATGTAGGAAACCATGGCCAATATTTAAGCATATGTAGTTTTCTACAAAATCAACAAAAAACCATAGCAACACAAAACAATTTCAGCAATTTAAAAATGCCAGGTAGATCACCTTATTTCCATGCAATAAGCCAAGAACAACAACAGACAAAAGGTGTAGAGTGAAATAGCAACTACTAAAGAAAGCGTGGCAGATAACAGTGCTAATGTAAATTTTTAATGTAATATTTCATTTCCAAGTAAAAGGCAAATAATTCATTAATATCACTAATTTTTTTTAATCAAAAGTATGTATAGCCTAATCTTAATTTAACTTTATACAAAACTTGATGGAATTAATACATTTGTATATCTAAACTTATCATAAAAATTACATTAAAAATATCAAAATTATGCAATGAAAGTAAAATGAAGGCTAGTTGCATATTAATATTTATCGCATAACAAAACTCTAGATTTTAACAGTAAGTCAGCATAACAAATCAAGTTGTTGTCTATGCATTCTGATTTAAAAACAAAACAAAGTACTTATAACTCTCTAACCATGATATACCATATGTGGCACATACTGCTAAGGACTGAAAATATAAATTCAGAACCTCGCCTTTCTTAAAATTGGATCTTCTTACATTTCTTTTAAGTCAGGAAAAAGATGGTGCTTTTGCAATGACAGTATCTTTTTCATTCTAACACTTTAGAATTCTGGCATCTCTACTTAATTTGTCAAGTCATTGATGAATTTTTTTTTCCTTTTTGCTCATTTTCAACTAAAGTCAAAACTGGAAAGCATACTGAAAGTTTGACAAATTAGCCAAATATAGAAAAAAAACTATTAATTGAAGACTATTTAAATGTCACAGAGACAAAAGCACCTTTCTCCAAGATCAGGATATAGTAGACCTTATAACCTATGGACATAAATGCCAGAGAATACCATAAATATACTTGTAAAAACTCATGTCTATCCTCTAAAATGCTTGTCTATAAAGACTTGGTAGTAATTATTCTTAAAAATATACATCCAAAGTTCCCCCCAATCCACGATTATTTGGTGTGTGTTAGGCATGAAATCAAAACAGCTCTTCCCATCCAAATTCAACAGCAGAAAAGATACCACACTTTAAGAAATAAATACAAGATGACATTCTAGAAAAGATAACACTATAGAAAGATAAAAGACATCAGCATTTGCCAGGGGCTGGGAATGGGACAAGGGCTGACTACAAAGGGGCGCTGAAGGGAACTTTCTAGGAGATGGAGTTGTCCTGTATCTTGATTGTGATGGTAGTTACACAACTGTTTGCGTTTGACAGAACTCAGGAAATTGTACATAAAAAGACTGAACTTTATTGTGTGTAAAAAAGTGAATTTTAAAATACGTAAAAAAATAAAATTTAAAAATAAGTAAAACGAACACCTACACTTTTTAAATAAATACCACTAGCTTTGGTTAAAAAATATTCTTATAGAGGCGGGCCCTGTGGCTGAGTGGTTAAGTTCATGCGCTCTGCTTCAGCGGCCCAGGGTTTCCCTGGTTCAGATCCTAGGCGCGGACATGGCACCACTCATCAAGCGATGCTGAAGCGGCGTTCCACATGCCACAACTAGAAGGACCCACAACTAAAAGTATACAACTATGCATTGGGAAGCTTTGGGGAGAAAAAGGAAAAATAAAATTTTTAAAAAAATCCTCATAGAGTTTTACTATATTCTTTCTCCAAATATTGGTTATTTCATTATTCAAGTAACATGGTATATTTAATTACATGAGGTATCATTGCCTATTTAAATTAAAAAATCATTACTAGTATACTTGACATCTATATGACTCTTACAATCTATAAAATGTCTTCCAATACACTATCCCATCTGATTTAAGTGGAATACAATTATCATCATCCTGCTTTATTTGATCAGTGGTTACACCTGGAGAAAATAGGAAAAGCCTGAAAGCCAGTCCAGTATTTTCCCCTTTACAGAACCTAAGAGGCTACACTATTTAAACTAAACTCTGCTGAGCCACACATTATCTACATACTAGGAGCTAGAGAAATAAGGGTCACTAAAACACAATCCCTGACCTCAAAAAGATCTATCTCCTGATAAATTTTTCTTCCAACATTTTAAGACCTTAACCAGTGTTTTTCCATTGTTGCTAAAAGCAGGTTAAGGCAAGTACAAAGTAACATATCGGTAATATACACACAAGCAGAATTATTAACAGAAATCTGGAACTCTGGATCCAAAACCTGTACTCTCACTGGTAGACTAGTTTTTCTTCTGAAAAGGGAGGGAGGGGAAGAGGAAGATAAGAAATCTAGTATCTCAGGATTTAAGGTTATTTGAGAAAATAACTTTCTGCTCTTGATAAAATAGTGAAAGCAACAACTATCTAAAGATGAATAGGTTTAGAGTACTTTGCTAAATTTTTTTCAAGAAACCAAGAATTATATATTAACAATAATGGGTTTCAATTTCCTGAAGCTGTCACTCCCTGTCTTTTATATGGAAAGATTTTAGTAATAAGTAAACGGAAAGAGCACACTCGTTTTTTTTTCTGTCTTATTATATCAGTAAAATGATTCACAGTTTGCATAGCTGAAAGTCCTATAAAAAAATAAACTTCAAGCATGAATTTAAAAAGAACAATAGTTCCTAATTCAAACAGAGCCAATCAAGTATATTGAATGTAAATCTAAAAGTGAAATGTCATGCATAAAATAAAAACCATTTAAACATATTTCAGTTAAAAGTTAGGCTAACTTACTCAAACAACTACCCCTTAATTCAATCTATAAGAGCCTATACAAAATGTCTTCCTAATCTTAGCACCTTATTGATCAGAATGTATCCTACATGATTTTAATTTAAAACAAAGAAAAAAACTTTACAATTTCAACTATTTTCTCAAATCTCAGAGATTTTAAAGAAACAAATTATTAAAAGCAGTTTTCTAAGTGCCAAAAGCAGACAGACAAAATACACTCTGCAAATTAGAAAAATAACATCAAAATATATTTCCCCATAAAATAAGCACATTTTTAGAGGCCCGGCACATTCATTCACTCCAAGAACAAAGAATTAGTAAAGAATGAACAAAAGAGGATAAGATTCCTCCCCATCCATGCAGTGTGCATTTCCCACCTCTTTCTCCCTGTGATCCCCACCGTGTGAATTGTGATCCAAAATGAGTCCTAGCTAAGGATATACAACAGAAAAAAATTCTACTCGTCAGAGAAATCAGAAAAAGAAATCCTTTTCATGTCTAGACAGAACTATATATATGAGTGGATCTAACCAAAGGGGGATTTATTTCAATTTAAGGAAAACAATTCTTTATATCTCCTGTACTCAATTGATACATTTCCCCATGGCCTGATACAGGAACAGTTTTTACCTGTTCTGTAGAGTATTGGAATGTGATCGGTAGAGAGTTTATGTTCACTTCGAACACCAATCAACAGAGGGCTGCCTCGTCTGTAAGTACAAAATCAAACAAAATTAAAACATTTTTATAATGCCCTAACGATACAAAACTTAAATTTGACGAAGGAACACTCTTCAACTAATGTTTAAATTTTCCCTCTAAGCTCAACTTCAGATATAACAAAAGAATGACATAAACAGAATTTTTAAAAAATATTCAATAACAGAGGCTGGCAAACTATGACTGACAGGCCAGCTTTGTCTGTTTTTATTGGCACCCAGCCATGCCCATTTTTTTACATGTTTTCTACAGCTGCTTTCACACTACAAGAGCAAAACTGAGTAGCTGCTACAGAGGCCACATGGCCGAGAAAGCCTAAAATATTTACTATCCGGCCCGTTACAGAAAGTATGCCAACCCCTTTTCTATAACAATGTGTTTGAAATTTCTCTCCTTTTTAACGTTAAATGAAACCTTTCTTTTGATATATGAACAATATAAGAATGTGTATCCCCTTCTCCTTAGTCACCCTGCCTTTGTATTAAAGACAGCTCTCTCTTAGCAAATCTTAGGGCTCCTCACTGTTCTAAAAAGAACTTCATGATCAGGCTTAAACATCTTAGCAAAAGTAGTGAAAGTACAATTATCTAGGACTCGGTCTAGAATACGTAATTCCAAAAAATATGGATAAAGTTAATGTTTTGGGCCTGAAATTAGAGAATATTCAATATCCAAATTTACAAAGTAATAATGGTGCCCCACTACAGACAAAAGGTCAATTAAAAATGCCAAAATGTATTTGCTTTATCAAGAGATTCTGTTAAATGGAAGAGTGATAAGACAATAGACAAGAAGGAGCACACGAAAATAAACATACTAACGCAAATGTCTCTAAGAAAGGGAAGAGCCTTTAAAGTGAAGGGTCATTTATAGTATACAGAAAATAAACGTAATTCAAAAGTTTCAGAATACATATAATTATTAGTCATTATTAAATTTATATTTATTTACCTTGTGCCAACTGCCTGGCCAGGAAAATGGACACTTTTAAAGACAAGTGCAAAAGCACCTTCCTACAGAGGAAAAAAAATGCATTAGCAATATATATTATAATCAGTTATCAGAAATGCCTAAAACATACTGGCTTCAGCACAGAAATTTTTTGTTCACACAACTGCTCTTTTGCACTAGTTTATAAATAAATCTAAATTTTAGGTAGACACTTACTCCTGAGTTTTGGTATAGCCAACAGCTACTTTATAACCAAGCCTACTTTTGAAATTGGCTCAACAGATAACAGCTCCAAAACAGACTACTTTAAAAGTCACCTTTGTACACACTACCAACATTTCCCAATAGACACATCATATTTCCCGTACATGCGTTGGTAAGGGGAAGAAAAAAGATCCCAAGCTCAATATCCAAAACCCATTCTCTGGCCCAGTAATTTTATACCACTGTTAACTTTCACTCTTTTTCACCTTGACATTGGAGATATGAATGTATACACAATGACAATTATTAACATGCACACTATACCACCCCTCAACCCAACCTCATCAGGGGCAGAATCTAAGGAAATCAAGAATGAATAAAGAGGGAACATGAGGTAGGAGAGTGAAGGAACCACCACAGAACACAAACCGGGCTATACAATGAGTAGAAACAAGAAAAAGCTGGGACGGCACACTACTCTGCCTTGAGTAAAGGGAAGAAACAGGCCTCTATTTTCTCCAGCTTCCTGACTCCTCTTTTTATGCTGCAGACATCATAAGATTTGGGTGGAGGTGGGAGGCAAGGGTTGGACATTCAGAGAGAAGTAAAGGCTTTTAAATGGGAAAGCCAGAGTTATGAGTGGGGAAGGGTTGGAAATCATGATGCATTTGGACTTCTGTGGATCTTTGATATCTTCAATCTTTAATTAGGGCAATTGGGATGCGATCAAAAAGAACACCACTTTTCTCTTGGACTGGGAAATACTTTCCTACATAGGTATAAGGCCAAGGAAAAATCCCCAGAAGGAAAAAGAAGGAGTTGACTCTACTGGCTCAAAGACATGCAGACATAATCCCAGAATAAAAAATGTGCATTTCACTGGAGCTACCCTTGTGCTATGTTACTGACGGGAAGAACACTTGAGCAAGCAGGAAGCAAGAAAGTGATGAACCCCCGACTGTGTGTGTTGTGTAAATGTTTGCGTGTGATAAATATGGGTTTGTTGGTGAGTATGCATAGTTTTTGGACAAACTGTTTGATCTGGGATTATTTTTAACTCCTATGACACTAAACTATAGTGAAAGAATTAGAATTCTAAGTGTGTGTGGGAAGGAAGGGGTCAATTAGTCAAAAAATAGTCTCCCAAAATAATTCAAGCGGAATAGTTATTGTATTCAACTTTCTGGGATATCATACCATAGTTATGGTATTCAACTTTTGGTAAATAAAAGTCAAAAATACTTAAGAAATTAGCATAATTCCTGTTTATCAAATTTAAAGAGTTTATGGTGATTAATGTTGGAAATAATTGTCTTTAAAAGTGTGGTTTAATACCAGTTGTTGGATAACTCTCTCCACCAAGGTAGTAAAACTGGTATCTTGACTTTCCCGATTGTCATACATGTACTTAACAAGCTTGGCAATTGTCTCTGTGTCTGTTTCAGATTCAAAGTCATAGCCTTTGCTTTCCTGTAATTAGAAAGAAAAAAAATTGACATATTTAAGGAAATATTTATAATATCCAAATCTTTTCTATAGAATTTTTTCCTGAAAAATCTCACTAATCAACTTCTGATCTTTTTTTCACCACTGTAGCCCATTACCCACTGTTCAGAATTAAGGTCACCATCTAATTATAGTGAACCCAAAACAGTGAGGTATTCTATATAACTGAACATACACTCATAATTATATAAATCTATATATGCCACATATGAATTAAATAAATTTTAAATAATTAAAATATAAAGAAATATAACAGTCATGAAACACTAATTCCATAATGAATACAACGATTCTTTCTTTAATGATGATGTTGCACTGGCCAATACAACAGCCATCAGCTGTATGTGGCTATTTAAACTGATTAAAGTGAAATAAAATTTCAAATTTAGTTCCTCAGTCATACTAGCTCAACAGCCAAATGTGGATGCTGGATAGTACAGATAGAGAAGGTTTCCGTCACTGAAGAAAGTTCAAGTGGACAGCCCTGAGAAGGCACTCACGAAGGTCATCATCATGACCTTTACTACATAGTACACAGCTTTTAAGGCACAGAACCTTCATTTACTCTGTCCTAGATCACGTATCCTAGAATCTTTTGAAAATGACAAACAAGGTCTTTTCACAAGCAAAAGAAGTTCCCCCAAAATTCCAAATTTTACTTGAGCTTTTGGGTCACTTATAATAAAGCATTTCCTTTTCATATAAGAAAAAAAATGTTCCACTGTCAACAAAGAAAACTCTGATAAACCACCACACCCTTGTAACTGCCTTAGGAATTACCTGATCATACCTAGGTAGTGTTTACTGCACACCCTAACCAAAAACTTCACTGTTCTCGTTAGACGTATTCTCAAAGACTGGTGTCTTTTTAGGTCACTTTACTTACCAGAAACTTTTTCAAGTCTTTGTAGTTGGTGATGATTCCATTGTGAATAACAATAAATTCTAAAAGAGATAAAAGCATTGATGACAAAACATTATAGGCCTAGTAAACACTTTAAATAGCCATTACTGTTGATAGATTTTTCTCAAGTCAAAAAATTTGTCAAACTTATACTTCCAGGTGTAATCAAGTACTATCTACTTTTCATTACCAGACCTCAGGTAGATCAGCAGCATAGTTAATGTGGATTAGTGAAAGCACACAGTGTTAGGGAGGCGGATATAGTGCCGGAACTACAATAAACTGGGGTATAGAGCCATCAGCTTGAGTTGTGGCTAAACTACTAACCCAATGTCACCACATGAAAGGAGCAAGATTACTGGGCCTGTTTCCTCGCTGGCAAAATGAGGGGGCTCAACTAAATAACTATTATTCTCGCTTCTTTGTTCATTCCTTCTTGTGCATAAAACATTCTTAAGTTTAAAGAGAAAGGCTTTCAAACTAAAATAATTATCTGATTTATACTAAATGAGTTTAAGAACTAAAGATAAGAAGTTACTAAGAAAAACCAGTTATTCAGTTCTAGAGTTAAATTTATTTATCTGAGGTCCAGATAATTACTAAAACGTCAGATAAATGAATGTTAAAATCAAATTCCAAGATCAAAGACATATGGTAGTGGGATAATTTTTACCCTTTTTGATTAAATAACTTTGAAATATCTAAGTCTGGGTAATCAAGAGTTGAAAATATTATTTTTAGTCATTGACAGTATATGTAAAGACTACAAATGTGGACTTATTTAAATTTCATCTAAGTCAGGAGAGAAATCACCACTAAATTCAATTTTGTATTAAATTATCAAAAATTTTTTAATATATTTAAAGATCTGACATTTTGGTTTGATGTTACATGAGCTTGAATTGAATGTATTACAAACCAAGTAAAAAATAAACATTTCTATTAGATTTTTAAGAAAAGATTATACCATGAAATACTACAAAAATAAATCTAAAATAATTTTTAATGGTAGAACACAGAGAATCATAAATAGCCCATAGCTGATATAAAGCCTTAAATTAAAGCCAAATTCTCAAAACATAATCTAGATATAAGTTTTCAGAAATCTTTTATAAAGGCCTTGTCAGTATTAAGTTTGGGTGGTTATTAGCATTCTAATCCGATTCAGTAATAATTATGTGAAGCACAAGAAACCTAAAAACACAACTTCTGAATTAAACTATAAAATCTTATCTCAAAAGGGATATATACACTACATACATCTATACATATATAGATGTATGTATTTGCTTGTTTTTAAAAATGGAAGAATAGACTCTAAAATATTTTTTGAACGGTTATCTGCAGAGAGAGATGGAATAAGGAAGAGGAAATAAGATACAAACTAGACTTATTTTAGTATGCTTCTTTTACAGGCGTGACCTCAGAACTATACAAATATTTTAAACAGTTAAATAAAATTAATGTTTAAAGAAAATCAATCCCTAAAACTCAAAATAAAATAAAACATTAACATAGTGCTGTATCCAGCTGGCAGCACAACCACATAGAAAAAGATTATTCCAAGTGACTCTAAAACACAGTAATTTGATTATTCATCCCTAGAGAGACATACCCTAAGGACAAAAAAACCAATTAACAAAAAAACAGTAACCATACTTGTTATAGTAGTGTTGGCATCATGATTCTGTAGTATATACATCATGTGAGAGATCAAGTAAGTGTGTTGCTGGTGTAAGAACTAAGTTTTTAGGTGTGATTGAAAGGAAATACACAGATCAATGAGGTCAAGTAAAAACCTTACAGCACTGGATTTGAACTGTAGTTGTGTTTTACCTTTAAATGTATACGTGCATGTGTGCACACACACAGAGGTAAATATATTTCCTAGCTCTGCCCACTGAAAAGGCCTAGATGCAGTGAGCATTTCTAGGACCTGTTTACAGTCTTTAAATATCATTTCCACTAAAAGGAACTATGGCTCCTTAGAGAAACGGCTGATTTCAGGTCTGGAGCAGGATTAGATGAACCTGGAACATCTTGGCCTACCAGAAAATAACAGACTATTGAGCCTACTGGGTCACATCAAAAGTACTCAGAAGCCAATGTGAAAAATCTCCCAATAGCCTAAGATGGGAAAAATTGTGCATCAACATAGACAATTATTTCAGTGTTTTGAAACAAATGAAATACTTTAAATGCATGAGTTTACACCAATAAAAAAGGAACTCACTGTTCATCTCAGAATATTAGAAACCACTTCATTTTTGAGAAATGGTAAATAAAGGGGGGGAAAAAATCAAACATTTATTCTGCCTTTCCTATACAATCTGTACTTCAAGGTAACCAAGCAGTTGATATGAAGAAGTTTCTCTTTATAGAAGTATTTGAGACATAAGTGAAGAAAGAATGATAGTATTAGACTAGCACCATTCTACAACCCCTAAAGAAAGAAAGAATCTTGGCAACGATCATCAATGGCCGCTAACAGCACAAAAAGAAAAACATCCAAACATTATATACCTCCAGATGTTAAGACCATACCAATTTATAATAAACAGAAGGGAGAGAGAAACATGTTAAATGACAGCCCGGATACAAGCAATTAGCAAGATCTAGACTGCTGGAAACTCTGTAGGACAAACAAGGGTAAACCGCCAAGAAAAAGGACAGAAAGGGAGCAGTGCCTTAAAGCAGTGCCTTAAGAGACTTAAGAGACACATCAATCTACTAAGTCCTTATCTTTTACAGATACACACTTAAATATTTACAAATTAAATGCTATGAGATCTAGTTATCTGTGATCTATCTATCTATATGATATCTATTGGTTTGAAAATACTCTTCATGGGGCAGTAGACATAAACATCACTGATCATGTATTGTTAAATGTTAAAGCTGGGTGATGGATACATCAGGTTCTGCATGCTCTCTACTTCTGAATATGTTTGAAATTTTACACGTTAAAATAATGAAAACATAAAAGCCATCATTCTTCTCCCGTTATTGGCCCTCTACAATCCTTCCAAAGCATGCAGCATCTGTCCATACCATTATTTTTATCAGAGCGCTGGGGATGGCTATTGACTGGACTGGGTTCGCCATGTGTTGCCCAACGGGTATGAGCTATTCCAAGGTGTACGTCAAATTCTATATCCAAATCCATATCCTGTTGTTCTAAAGAAGATATAACAAAAGATTCCAATATTAAATCATGTTGTAGAGATGATGCTACAAGCTATATTTATATATAATTATTACAGTGCTACTCACCTGGAATATACAATTATTAAAACTGATGATCAGGCATATTCAAAATAGTAATTAAAAGACTTAGAGAGGTTAATGCAGCCAAAATATTTAGGGTGAATGGTTCCAATAACAACCAAAAAACTATATACAAAGAAATAAAGCAAATGTGACAAAATGTTAACAATTTGTAAAGCTAGATGAAATATAGAGGTGATTAATGTACTATTCTTTCAACTTTTCTGGAGTCTTGGAAATTTTCAAATTCAAGAGTTAAGGACAAAAAGAGTTAACATGATTTTTAAAAATCTATATTTAATCCTTGCCTTAGAAAAAAATCAGTATCATTTTAATTAGACATGTAAAAATAAATTCATTCTCTCAACGTCACACAACCTTATGACTGCAATTTCTTTGGTCCCCAGTAAATGTAAACATATCTCACAATATAAACTGCAATTATGGAGCGCTTCCAAAATCAAAGAACAGGTTCTCAAGAACAGAGCAACACTATGAAAGTATGGGGTTACAGATTGATGCTCCTTTATCTTGAAAAGCAGCTTTCTAATTCCTTTTCCCTATGAGCTGTCTCTTCTTGCTTCTTCCAGAAAAAAAATGGACAGTTCTAGTTATTTACTAATAATGCCCTCCTTCTAATTTCCTAAATATAAAATTCATTTGGCTAAGAAACTAGATAATAAAGCTTGTGAGAATTAGGTCTAAATCAAGAACAAATTGCTCAGAAGTCTGAATAGGAAAGTCCATGCACTTTAGCACACACTCGCTGTGGTTTTTATACTGGCTAATGAGAGGTCATTCTAAAACACAAATCTGATTAGGAAATAAGGCTTAAAATCCTTGAACAGACTTGCATTGCTTAAAAAAGTGGTTTATATCCCTATTGCACATATGAATAATCCTAAACCCAGTCACAGGGATTTGCAAAAAGATCCTCAAATTCTAACACACAACTAGAGAGCCACTTTTCTCAAGATAAAGCTCCAACACCTTTTCATGGCATACAAGGTCCTTCACCATCTGCCCCCCACCTACCTTTCCATCCACATCTCTTACCCCTCTCCAATTACTAGCTCTCAACACACCTTTTACAAATAACAGCTAACATCTACTGAGAACTTACTTTGTGCTAGGTTGTAGGGACTCCTCACCACTCTCTCCCTATCACTGTGACCCCAGTCACCATCATCTCTCGCCTTGACTACTTCAACAGAATCCTAACTGTTCCCCCTGTGTCCAATCCTCCCTCTGTACAACCTAGTCTTTGCACGCCAACCAAAGTGATCCTTTCAAATCAGAAGTCAGATCATGTCACTCCCCTACACACCGTTTTCCAGTGGTTTCCCACAACATGCATAGTAAAATCCATCGTCCTTGAGACACTACCTGACCCAGCCCTCAGCCACCTCTCTAGCTTCATCTCCTGCCACTCTCCCCCTCCCTCGCTGTGCTCTGGCCCCACTAACTTTCAGCCATAAGCAGCCCAAGCCCACACGGGGCTTTGCACGTGGTGTTCCCTCTGCCTAGAATTCTTCTTTCAGACAATCACATGGTCTCTGCTCAAATGTCACCTCTACCATATATTTTCTTCATAGCACTAATCACTACCTAACATTATATATTTGTTTGTTGTCTGGCCATCTCACTAAACAGTAAGTTCCATCAGGGCAGAGGGTTTGCCTATCTTGTTCTCTGTTTTGTCTTCAGGGCCTAGAACAATGGCTGGTATATAAAAGGCACCCAATACATATTCATTCGTTATTGAATCCTCACATTACACTGTGAGGTGGGTACTTAATGTCTCCACTTTACAGGCAAAGAAACTGAGGCTCAAAGAAGTCACAGAAGCTGCCATAGGTCATAGTTAAAAGGAAAGAGAGATAGGATTTGAACCCAAATCTGTGACTCCAGAGCCTAAGATAAAACCACAATGTGGTACTCTGCTGTACTATTACATTTGTGACAAGTTAACCTGGCTTCCATCAGAATTTGAGTTCTACAAAAGCAGCAGCCTGCCTTATTATCTTTGAATCCTAAGCACTAAGAGCTAAATAAGGCAGATACTCAAATTTTTATTGGATAGCTCACTCAATGAACGGATAACATCATCAATCTATCTTTCCTAGCTTACCTGTGTTCTGAATAATTAGGGTGACCCGATAAATAACCTTCAGAAAAGTAAAGGATTACTGTGTATCACTATTTAACAGGCTAATGTAAGCAATGAAAATATCTGACTCGTTTTCAGGCTGACTATAATTAAAGCAGCATCTCTCCACACATGCTGGCAAGCCACACTGGAGAAAGTAACAAGAGTCTGTAAATTGAATCCATTTCAAATTTACAGTAATTACCATACCCATTTCACTGCTGCCAAAGGAATATTATCTAATGTCTAATAAGAAAAAATCACTGCTATGACAATAAGCACATTCCTTGTAACAACTATTTCCTACGTTTTATAAATGAATCATGAGTTCTAACCCCTGACTCTTCCTTATTCAATGTTACCCCTGTTCTAAAGCCCTCTGTTGAACCTTAAGTCTAGATAACCCCCACACTCAGTTTTCTCTTCTCCCCCCAGCCCCTAAGCTGCTAAGCAACATTGAAGAAAGTCACAAAATTCTGTAAATTGAGTCCATTTCAAGTTCATGGTAATTACCAAGCCTATTTCACTGATGTCATTTAAGGAACATGGATCCATGCTCCTTATTCATTAAGTTGACAGCTCATTCAATTCCACAACAGCTCAGGACATCTTTTCTACTCTCCTCATTCCTCAGTCCTACCTACAGTCCCTCAATTTCCACTTCTCTCAGCTTTTTGCCCTCACCTCATAACTCTGTTTTACTTAGCTTTTCTTTTACCTTTGACTCCTGTAAAGGCTAACTCCCCCACCTATGCCTTGACGTTCTAAAGCTATAATCCCTCAATACCTTTCTTATTTGATCTTCTATCTTCCCACCACCTTCACGCTCAAGGCTTCCTGCCCTCTGCGTACCTTTTCTCAGATGTCATCCTTCTGTCTCTTTTTCTTAATAGTTCAAACATTTAAATTTGCTGGCAATAACACTCAAATACCTATACCCAGAGATATCACACGTTAGCATACAGCCATTTGTGTTTTACATATTCTCTAAGATATAAACTGTAGGAAAACCTTTAATTATTGTCACTCCCGAGAACAGTAGCCCTGCCTTTGCCCCAAAACTCACTGTCTTTACTGCCAACACCATATAATGACAGTACCTAATTCTCTGTATTTGAATTTCCTCATCTGCAAAATGACGATGATAATTTTACCTACTTCATGAGTAATAATGAGGAATAAATGAGTTAACACACAGAAAGCACTTACAAGAGTGCCTGAGACCCAGAAAGCAATCGATAAATGTTAGCTATTATTTTCAAGGTCAGAGTTGCCAATACCTCTTACTCCACCAATCTAATGGCCTTTTCTTTTCTGAGATATATTCCTTCCCTTTTGTTTTAACAGGTCAAACATATTGAAACTCACTGGGAATAATAAAATAAACATCACAAACATCCAAATATCTATACCTAGAGTTAACAAATGTTAACATCTAGCCATTTGAGCTTTAGATCTTTTTTAAGATACAAAATGTAAAAATGTAGTTGAGGGGCCGGCCTGGTGGCACAGCTCAAGTTCACACATTCCGATTCACTGGCCCAGGTTTTGCCAGTTCGGATCCCGGGTGCGGACATGGCACTGCTTGGCAAGCCATGCCGTGGTAGGCGTCACACATATAAAGTAGAAGAAGATGGGCACGGAGGTGAGCTCGGGGCCAGTCGTCCTCAGCAAAAAGAGGAGGATTGGCAGCAGTTAGTTCAGGGCTGATCTTCCTCCAAAAAAAAAAAAAAATGCAGTTGATACCTCCTTTATACCCTGCCCCATCTCATTCCTCCCAGAGGATTCTCAAGTTGATGTACAGCTTTCCTACCTGTACTGTTAGACTTCTATTATGCTAATATGTGTTCATAAATGATAGTATTCTTTTGTGTTTTTTAAGTGGTCCTACACTTTACAGATCCTTTTGCAGGTTGCTCTTTTCACTCAACATCAGGTTCCCAGGAATTATCCACGTCCCTACATGCAGAACCAGATCACTCCTTTCAAAAGCTACATGTGGTCATGTAGTATCATTACAACCAATTCTCCTATTCCCTTACTGGTAGACATTTAGGCTGTTTCTAAATTTTGCTGCAATCGATCTTGTCATGTCTCCTCACCCACAGGGTATTTTTCAAGTATACGCCCAAGAGTGGAAAGTGCTTAGTCACAGGTATAGGCATCTCCCCTTTAAAGATTGTTAGATTGCTCTTCAAAGTGATTTATCAGTTACAAATTCATCAGCAATGTCTACAAGTTCTCATTTCTCCACTACTTCCTGACTTTCCCACAGGAAAGGAGGAGGTATATTTCAACAGGTTGACATCCAAACCTGGTGATTCTAGTCATAATCTGCCCTTCCAGCCTCCCATACCTGTCTACCAATAACATAGATAAAAAGGACTACCTACCACTTCATCAACAAACTTGCCTTCCCTATTCTTTTTATTTATTTTTTTCTTAGGAAGATTAGCCTTGAGCTAACATCTACTGCCAATCCTCCTCTTTTTGCTGAGGAAGACTGGCCCTGAGCTCACATCCTTGCCCATCTTCCTCTACTTTATATGTGGGACGCCTACCACAGCATGGCTTGCCAAGTGGTGCCATGTCCACACCTGGGATCTGAACCGGTGAACCCCGGGCCGCCGAAGCGGAATGTGCGAACTTGCTGCGCCACCAGGCCGGCCCCCATGCCTCCCTTATTCGTATCTTTACCCAAGCCATTGCGCTCGGAAGGCTTTTCCTTCTCACCTTCACTGCCCAAATATAATCAGCAGCCATTCCCTATGTATCCCCAGTCTCCCCAACTTGGGGGAACTTTCTCTCTCCTGAATCTCACAACAATTTGTTTTATTGTCTACTAAAGAATCTACTGTACTCAGCCTGGTATACAGGATGCAGTAAAGGAAGTAGGCAGAACATTTATACTACAGTTTTTGAAGTGCAGTGCCTTCTTTACCTGTAATTTGGGTGCCTGCTTTATCCCTAGCCAATCTTAGCCACAATACACACAAAATAACTATTGATTTAATTTGTTAAACAAGTACTAGAGAGCTAAATATTTAGTTTATGTGAAAAAAAATGACGAAATTCATCATTTTCCTCTTTTAGCTGTACTCCTTTGACAATGATTATGATGGCATCCATTTGAGCAGGTACATAAAAAACCTGCTACTTCCTGCTTTTGGGGGGAGACTTTTTAAATGTTTATTCAATCAATGTACTTGAAAGTTTCTGTTTCATTTTCAAGTTTCCTATGAAAAAATAAAATGTACAAGCATAATGTTATGAACTCAACACTGAGAAGTATATCATCTTTAATGGAGTATGTATCTGTGCGCAACTACTTTATGCCAGAGGAGTAAGAAAATCATCAGAGAAAAAGATGATACTTACCTGATTATATCACACCTACTAAAAGGTGCAATATCCAGACTTATTATACATCTAAACTAGGCATTTAGTCCAAAGTGAAGACAACCACCAAGTGAAGACACATGAATCAGGGCACCCGTAAAAATCCCTTTGACCTAGGAAAGGCCCTTCCTCAGGAACTGTGGCTACTTTATTTGAGGACACTGAGCTTGCTCTGAACACAATGCACCTAACTAATTTCCTTCCCTAGTTAATATGATCATTTTTGAAGCTCAGGTACATTTTAAAACCAGTACAGACAGTAACAAAATCACTTTTCTTCCTTCTCTTCAACTTTAAGTATCACTGTCTTAAAATGGGCCCCAAAATAGAAGAGAGAAGGTAATTTGGTAGAGAAGAGAGAAGGAAGAGAAGGGTGGGCGGGGCGGCACAAATCAAACTAAGTACGTTACTGTGAACTTCTTCATCCAGTGCTTTGACTTTCCCTTTCTTCTTAATGAGATGGATTTTGCAGGCATTGGCTTCCCAGTCTTTGTCATTGCCTCCATCAAATCCCACACCTAAATCATCAAGAGGCAGAAAAGCAAGATTTAGAAACTGGCTATTACTTACATTATCATTGTAAGGCAAAATTTTTAATTAAAAAATACTTTCATCTAATTAATTCACCTATTTATCAATTCATGTGTCAAGAACCATGATAGTTGCTAGAGACAAAAATGAAAATCACTCAGTTCCTATCCTCAAATTTCTAATAGACAAGGAAAAAATAATTATAGTACAGTGTGGATTAGGTTATAATAAACGTACTACAGGTTGCAGCTGAAGAACAATGGAGAAACGGAGAAGATATGCACCCACCTCAGAAGGGAGATTAAGAGGGAATGTCAGGGAACACATCTCTTGAGAATCTAAAGCTCCTAAGAAATTTGAAAAAGCTACCCTGAAGGTACTGGAAAAAGCACTGAGTAGTTTTAAGTAGAGAAATCACATGGCAAAAACATGTAGAAAACTCTCTTTGGAAACAGTGTAGAGGATAGACTGGAAGAGGAGAAAGAAGAAGAAATCAGCCATCAGAAGTTATAGTCATAGCAAAGCACAAATGAGGAGGGACTGAAGTAAAGAATGGTAATGAAGACAGAGATAAGTGCTATTAAGACGTAAAACTGCGAGTAAGATGAGAAAGCAGAAGTCTGAGATACTCCTAGGGTCAAAGGACTTGTTGAATGACTGTTGATAAAAGGAACACAGAAAGAATAGAGTAGATAGTGAAGTGAGAACTAGAATGTACTCAGTTCAATTCTGAACATGCAAAGTTTACAATATCGTGGAGAAATTTACCCAGGGAGAAATTTATCCAGGGAGAACTTTCTAGGATGCAGGTGGAAATACACATCTACAGCTTGGGAAATACATCTGAACTGTAAGTCATCAACATATAGGAGGTTGATGAAGTCAGAGCTCACCCATGAAAATACAAAATAAGAAGGAAAGTGGGCCTAGGAAAGTATCTTGAAGAACATAAATATTTACGTAATAAGTAGAAGGAAAGGAGCCCCCAAAGCAGAGAGAAAATAAATAATCAGTGTGTTAGGAAGAGAATGAGGAAGATGTGTTATCAGAGAAGCTAAGGCAGGAGAGAATTTTAAGAACAAAGGGGTTGAGGAACTGACTTTCCATTATCTAAAGAAAGTCATGAAAGATAAATGCCCATTACATCTCGCAATGGTAAGTGTACAGAAAAGAGTTAACACGGCAGGTCTGACACTACTATCCTTAGAAAGGCCTGCCTGTAAAGTTGGCCCTTGGCTGGCACCTGGGAACTTGGATTTCAGGAGGGTTCCCACTGCTCCAACTGATTACAAGTGGCTCACAGCACCTGAACTGTTGATGCAAACAATGTGGCTTATGTTGAACATCTGCTTCCCTTTTGGAGTCTAGAATTCTGGTACGTCAGGCAGAGGGTGTCTATGTAAATAGCCCCCAATAAAAACTCTGGGCACTGAGTTACTAATGAGCTTCCCTGGTATACATTTCACACGTTATCACAACTTCCTGGGGAAATTAAGCACATCCTGTGTGACTTCACCGGGAGAGAAATCTTAGAAGCCTGTGCCTGGTTTCCTCCAGACTTCACTCTGTGCAACTTTTCCCTTTGCTGATTTTTGCATTGTATTCTTTGGTTGTAATAAATCATAGCCGTGAGTACAACTAGATGCTGAATCCTCCTAGGAAATCACTGAATCTGAGGGTGGTCTTGGAGACCCCTGACACAGTTAAGGGAAGGAGCAAGAGTAGAACCTAAGATTGACAAAAAGTTATTTTTATTTGCTTTGTCATTTATTTAAGATAGAAGAATCTTAATCAAGTTTATATGCCAAATCACAGAATCCTTAGAGACAAAGAAATTAAAGTTACAGGAAAGAAAAAAGATAATTTATAGAGGAAAGCCTTCAAGAACTTTGTTCTACGATGAAAATGCCTCATGTGATTTATGTTTTTATGGTAACATTGTTAACAAAAGAAGATACCCGTAAGAAGCAATACTCTACATAAATGCTAATACTTTTGAAATTACATGAACAAACCCTTTATACATGATAAAATATAAAAATTCTTCAAATTAGATTGGTGGTTACCAGAGGGGAGGGGGAAAAGGAGGAGGGTGAAAGGGGACAGGGCACATGTGTATGGTGAAGGATGGTAATTAGTCTTTGGGTGGTGAACATGACGTAATCTACACAGAAATCAAAATACAATGAGGTACACCTGAAATTTACATAATGTTATAAACCAGTTACCCCCAAAAAAAATTAATTCTAAAATATTCTCCAGATTTTAGATTTACCTGAAACAACCCAACAGACATTACTAAAGAATCTAGTCACCTAAAACAAATTTAAAAAACCTCTCTATTTAGACTCAAGAATCATGCAAAACTATAATATTTTTTAAATTTATTTAAAAGAATTTAAATTTATTTAAAAGGAAATACCAGCAGAATCATATCCTCTGTACTCCAGTCTCTGAAGGCCTTTGATTAGGGTCTCCAAGATTTCTCGTCTTGTGCGAGGAACATGGTAGTTTAAGTATGCAAATATACCTGCAAAGAAACAAATTATTTAATAGAAAATTCTGTCTAAACAATCAAAATTAATATAAGCATGACAAAATTCTCATTTGCATAATTAAGGATAAGATGCGCAAAAATGAAAAGCTAGAGTCCATCTTTAAAAAACAAAGAAATCCTCACTTTAAATTGTTTAAAGGCAGTGAAACGTTTTCAAAAGGGAATTTCTCATAAGTATAAAAGATTGAAATAAATACGTCAAAATAAACGTTTAGAGCTTTTTCAAATAAGCTTATAAGGCTGGTCACTAATCTTCCATCATTGCCATTTTGTCAAGTGAAATCTAATTTCTAAAAACTAACCAAACAACAAATTTTTGGTTTATGCCCTAAATACTGTGCATATGTTTAAAGGAAAACATTTTGTGAAATAAGTATTTTAAGCAACATAGGGCCCTATAAAACTATATAGATGGAATAATTTTTCAACTTCAAAGGACCATGTTGTCAATAACATTTAGAATAAATAACTTGTAAGTATCAATGATGTTGAAAATACTTACAACCAAAGTAGTCTAATAGGTGAAAATGAACTAAAAAATATATATAATCATCTTAAGAGAAACTGGCTTGGATCACTTGTTCACAGATACTAGCAAAAGACAACTATAAGACATGTTAACAACTCGTGAAATCATAGAAAAGAAGCAATCACTTGGAAAAGCAAAACTAGAAATAAAAGGACTAGTACAGTGTGAACCGAGTGGGAAAGAAAGAGGCAGTGGGACCCAGACAAAGGAAATCCACATTTTGGGAACAGCAGCACGGAAATCATCCAAGGGCTTCCATGGTTGTGCTTTGGCCAGGGTGGATAGCTTACATACAGAAAAACTGAAGATCAAAAGAAAGAAAGTATAAGTTCAAGTTGCTTATTTATCAAAGAACCTTCCCTTTTCTTACTATATTATACTATAATGCCACTGATTCATAAGGGGATTAAATTAATTCTGTGGGGTAGAACTTCAGAATGACTAGCCTTCATTTCCATTTGAAAAGGTCTCTTTATTTCTACAAAGAGCTTGGTCCTATCAAAACATTTCAGCATATAAAAATAGCACACTTCTAATATCCAACAAAAAAGCCATCATAACGTGTATGCCGACCACCATGATCAGTACGGTGCAAGTTTTTTTGAAATAAACTATCATGCTCTTCAAAAATACATATATATATATATATTTTAAAACTAAAACCCCAAACAACCTGAAACAATTTTTTGAACATTCCCAAAGACTTACAGAAATCCTATATTTCATTCATATTCCAAAAAAATAAACCTTACAGTTGTAAAGATTTTTTAAGTTATTGTATTGTACAAGTATCTCACTTTCACAAAACCACAATCCTGCCTGAGGTCTGGGGTTTTTGTTTTTACTGCTGTTCCTTCATAAACTATTTGTAATATGAAGAAACTAAACCAATAATCCAACTGTAATCAAACTTTTCTGTGTTCTACACTTTTTCCCCCATGGGTCACTGATCTTAGTTTTCTGTGTACATTTAATCTTTATCAATCAGTCCCAAATAAGTATTTTTATCAGATCATAAAAGGACAGTACATAAAATATAAATCTTTTCCAAAAATAACACTTTAATATAAATGTGCTAAAGAATACCGATTCTCAACTAGTCTACTCTCCACCACCTGTGACTAGCCATCAGCTAAATAATCTGCTAAAGGAGGACACGACCTAGCTCATTGGAAGGTCATTAACTAATAAAACATATTACACTGTCGAGGATTGTTTGCAGGCTGAGGCACTCTGGAAAGCTTTGAAGAGGAAGTCCAGAGCCGCCAAATCCCAATAATGCAGTGCCATACAGAAAAATTCATTACAAAATCTTCTTTTTTTTAAGAAACGTTAATTCTGATGGTAAAAGTAATACGTTTGGGGAATTAAAGATTAAATATAAAAATCAAATACCAATTTAAAAAACTTAAATGCTGACACAAAACCAACTGTTTTTAAGACAAGCTATAGACCCAATACATTTTTTAAAAGGAAATTCAGAGTGATGCAATATTCAATTCACTGTTTTCAATACATGTAACTTGGCATTCAACTTTGATATTATTTCTAACATCAGTCTCCTTGGTTTACATTGGTTCACTGTGTGAATCTTGAGATCCTGAGCACAAGTTCATATAGAGAGGAATCTTCTAAGCCATGACTTACCTCCAAACAAAATTACAAAATTGTAACTATTTTATAAACTAATAAAATTAACACTAAACATTTGTCAGCTCATAAAAAAGTACTCTCGCATTGAAGAAATGCTGCGAATTCTTTTAATTCATGTGTGTCCCCAAGGCTTTCCACTATACCACCCTGCCTCAGCTTCCCCTTCTGTGAAATGACCAGGTTTTACTGAGAGATGGAAGAATAGGTTTCATGCAAGTGCCAACAAGTCACTAACTGGTAGTGGCTGTAGAGAACACCGTTGAAAAGGATTCAGTGGCCCCGTTTTCTAAACAGGAAGGAAAGCCATGAATGCTTTGGGACATTTATTACGTGGGGATTGATAGCACAAGGCCCACATATTTCCCACCTCTGACATTTGAGGACATTCACCATCCCCTCCAACTTGATGTTTATGATTTCTGAGGATTCTTTTCTGATTGCTTTAGAGACATTCCTGATGATTTTGACACTTCAATACCTCTACAGTCTGCACTTCTCTCCTGAGCCTCATTTCTTTGTTACAACATTTACATGATTTTGTTCTGTGTATCATCGTATCTACCAAATTAAAACTGGAAACCTGGTGAAGGGTCTTATTGTTTTCAGAATATATTGTTATGAATTAAAAGCCAAGTAACAGATAAAATATGAGGACATTTTTCTACAAAACCATATTATTGCACCTAAGATCATGCTCTAATACTGCCTAATACAATGTTCATATTCAAATTTTCCCTATTATCAAGAAAATGTCTTTTACAGCTGATTTGTTCACTCTAGGATATAATAAAAGATCATACCTCACATTTGATTGTTATGTCTCATAAGTCTCTTTGAATCCAGAATGGTCTCCCCAACTGCCCTGTTTTCCCCAAGACACTGACTTATTGACAAGCTGGGGCCAATTGTCTTTTTGAATGTCTCCCCTTCTAGCTGTGTCTAATTATTTCCACATGGTGTGATTTAACCAGTTCCTCTATTCCTTGTACTTCCTGTAAACTGGAAGATAGATCTAAAGGCTTGATTGAGTTAGGTTAAAAATAGGGAGCAAGAATGATTCACAGGTATGTATTTTATATTTTCTGTTGGTCCCTACTACTAGTGATGCTAAGATTCATCACTGGTTTAAGGTAAAGACAATCAGACAACTTAGCCTATGATATTCTGAAAGCATCTTCAGAATACTTTCTAGGGCTTTAGATATTGATAGCATTGATTTTTTAAGACATTCATATTTTCTTTCTTTGTGGTCCATATAATAATGGTGCACTTCCCAAACAGTTTCATCTTTGATTCAATGAAATACCATATATCAAATTCCAATGCAAAACCTGCCTTTTCCTTGAGAGAGGAAGTAATGATTACCAATAATCATTACTGTCCTTTTTTGGTTCACTATGAGAACAAAGAAAATGAGAAGAGTAGGAATAGAGGAAGAAGTAGGAGCAATATTTCTCCTTACATAACTAAGCAGGAACTGAAAGGAAAATACAATGACACATGTAAGAGAAATTTTCTAAGATCAAAGTAATAATGCTGAGAGAAGGAAGAAAGAGGATTAACCTAATTTCCCCGGTTAGGAAAGTGGGAGATAGAGAGGTTGAATCTATCAATTTTACAGACCAACCCCTTGAAAGCACTGCTGGCCCAAGACAGCCCACCTGCTGGGATTAGTGAATTATCTGTGATCTTGGGGTAGCTGGAAAAACAATGGCAAATGACCAGCCAATGAGGCATGGAGGAGATGATTAAGAGGGAGGCATTCATAACTCAAAATGATGCTTATTCAACAAACATCACTAGATTGACCCCTATTTCAGGTCTTCTACTTGTCTTATCAAACCTCCCAATAAACAGTTCTGCTTAACCTAACTACAGAAGCCTAAAAGTCAACTCCACCACTCTTCAGTAACTGCTCCAAGAGCACAAAGCATGGAGCAGAGGAGATTTTCTACTCCCAAAATGGCATGTGCTTCCATAGTGTAAGTTTTCTTATTAATGGAATGTACTTGGAATAAATATCTCCCTAACCGAAGCAGATGCTTGCACCTACAAGCACCTTTCTCAGAAAAAGGCAACTTAAAATTCAATGACATAAATGCACTTAGGAACACCTTAAAATACTCAGATACAACCTGGACTACAGACTTGACACGTAGTTGAAAGCAATCTAGGTCTAAGTAAAGACTATTAAATCTTATTGAAATGAAAAGTGAATGCAATTTAGCTGACTAATCAAATCATTAAATTTCCTATTCCTGGTTGAATTTATGTCCTTATGAATAAGAAATTTTACATATTTTTTCACATGACAAACTCAATATATTGAGACCCTAGACAGTGCAATTCATCAGTGTTATTAAAATTCATTCTCTAAATTATATATTTTTTGAATAAAAATCCATCCACAATCCCACTTAAGTTTCATTTTAAAAATTTTTCTTATAAAACAAGTTACAAATGAATTCACTATCATCATTAAAAATTCAAATTACACAAACGCTACAGAATGAATCGTGAAAATCTCCTCGTTCTACCTCCACACAGGGAGACAACCACCATTAATCCCATACACATTGTCCCAATCCTTCAGCCATGAATTTTTCTACATATATGGACCTAGATGTATATGATTTTAGGGTATTTTTTAAACACATAATATACATTTATTAGACACTATACACATTGTTCTGTAATTTTTTCACTTACTTAAGATGTCTGACATCTTTCTGTCAGTATAACACATGTACCCTATTCTATTTAATGGCTGCATACTAGTCCACAATAGAGT